CCCTCTCCCTTCTCAAACACCATCCTCTCCCTTCTCCACCACCATCCTCTCCCTTCTCCACCACCACCATCCTCTCCCTTCCCCACCACCATCCTCCCCCTTCTCCACCACCGTCCTCTCCCTTCTCAAACACCATCCTCTCCCTTCTCCACCACCATCCTCTCCCTTCTCCACCACCACCATCCTCTCCCTTCCCCACCACCATCCTCCCCCTTCTCCACCACCGTCCTCTCCCTTCTCCTCCACCGACCTCTCCCTTCTCCACCACTACCATCCTCTCCCTTCTCCACCACCATCCTCTCCCTTCTCCACCACCGACCTCTCCCTTCTCCACCACCACCCTCTCCCTTCTCCACCACCACCCTCTCCGTTCTCCACCACCACCCTCTCCCTTCTCCACCACCATCCTCTCCCTTCTCAAACACCATCCTCTCCCTTCTCCACCACCATCCTCTCCCTTCTCCACCACCACCCTCTCTCTTCTCCACCACCACCCTCTCCCTTCTCCACCACCATCCTCTCCCTTCTCCTCCACCACCATCCTCTCCCTTCTCCACCACCATCCTCTCCCTTCTCCACCACCACCCTCTCCCTTCTCAAACACCATCCTCTCCCTTCTCCACCACCATCCTCTCCCTTCTCCACCACCACCATCCTCTCCCTTCTCCACCACCATCCTCTCTCCACCACCATCCTCTCCCTTCTCCACCACCACCATCCTCTCCCTTCTCCACCACCATCCTCTCTCCACCACCATCCTCTCCCTTCTCCACCACCACCCTCTCCCTTCTCCACCACCATCCTCTCTCGACCACCATCCTCTCCCTTCTCCACCACCATCCTCTCCCTTCTCAAACACCATCCTCTCCCTTCTCAAACACCATCCTCTCCCTTCTCCACCACCATCCTCTCCCTTCTCCACCACCATCCTCTCCCTTCTCAAACACCATCCTCTCCCTTCTCCACCACCACCCTCTCCCTTCTCCACCACCATCCTCTCCCTTCTCAACCACCACCATCCTCTCCCTTCTCCACCACCATCCTCTCTCCACCACCATCCTCTCCCTTCTCCACCACCACCATCCTCTCCCTTCTCCACCACCATCCTCTCCCTTCTCAAACACCATCCTCTCCCTTCTCAAACACCATCCTCTCCCTTCTCCACCACCATCCTCTCCCTTCTCCACCACCATCCTCTCCCTTCTCAAACACCATCCTCTCCCTTCTCCACCACCACCCTCTCCCTTCTCCACCACCATCCTCTCCCTTCTCCACCACCACCATCCTCTCCCTTCTCCACCACCATCCTCTCTCCACCACCATCCTCTCCCTTCTCCACCACCACCATCCTCTCCCTTCTCCACCACCATCCTCTCTCCACCACCATCCTCTCCCTTCTCCACCACCACCCTCTCCCTTCTCCACCACCATCCTCTCTCCACCACCATCCTCTCCCTTCTCCACCACCATCCTCTCCCTTCTCAAACACCATCCTCTCCCTTCTCAAACACCATCCTCTCCCTTCTCCACCACCATCCTCTCCCTTCTCCACCACCATCCTCTCCCTTCTCCACCACCATCCTCTCCCTTCTCCACCACCACCCTCTCCCTTCTCCACCACCATCCTCTCCCTTCTCAAACACCATCCTCTCCCTTCTCCACCACCATCCTCTCCCTTCTCAAACACCATCCTCTCCCTTCTCCACCACCACCCTCTCCCTTCTCCACCACCACCCTCTCCCTTCTCCACCACCATCCTCTCCCTTCTCCACCACCATCCTCTCCCTTCTCCACCACCACCATCCTCTCCCTTCTCCACCACCATCCTCTCTCCACCACCATCCTCTCCCTTCTCCACCACCACCATCCTCTCCCTTCTCCACCACCATCCTCTCTCCACCACCATCCTCTCCCTTCTCCACCACCACCCTCTCCCTTCTCCACCACCATCCTCTCTCCACCACCATCCTCTCCCTTCTCCACCACCACCCTCTCCCTTCTCCACCACCATCCTCTCTCCACCACCATCCTCTCCCTTCTCCACCACCATCCTCTCCCTTCTCCACCACCATCCTCTCCCTTCTCAAACACCATCCTCTCCCTTCTCCACCACCATCCTCTCCCTTCTCCACCACCATCCTCTCCCTTCTCAAACACCATCCTCTCCCTTCTCCACCACCACCCTCTCCCTTCTCCACCACCACCCTCTCCCTTCTCCACCACCATCCTCTCCCTTCTCCACCACCATCCTCTCCCTTCTCCACCACCGCCATCCTCTCCCTTCTCCACCACTATCCTCTCTCCACCACCATCCTCTCCCTTCTCCACCACCACCATCCTCTCCCTTCTCCACCACCATCCTCTCTCCACCACCATCCTCTCCCTTCTCCACCACCACCCTCTCCCTTCTCCACCACCATCCTCTCTCCACCACCACCCTCTCCCTTCTCCACCACCATCCTCTCTCCACCACCATCCTCTCCCTTCTCAAACACCATCCTCTCCCTTCTCAAACACCATCCTCTCCCTTCTCCACCACCATCCTCTCCCTTCTCCACCACCATCCTCTCCCTTCTCCACCACCATCCTCTCCCTTCTCCACCACCACCCTCTCCCTTCTCCACCACCATCCTCTCCCTTCTCAAACACCATCCTCTCCCTTCTCCACCACCATCCTCTCCCTTCTCAAACACCATCCTCTCCCTTCTCCACCACCACCCTCTCCCTTCTCCACCACCACCATCCTCTCCCTTCTCCACCACCATCCTCTCTCCACCACCATCCTCTCCCTTCTCCACCACCACCCTCTCCCTTCTCCACCACCATCCTCTCCCTTCTCAAACACCATCCTCTCCCTTCTCCACCACCACCCTCTCCCTTCTCCACCACCACCATCCTCTCCCTTCTCCACCACCATCCTCTCTCCACCACCATCCTCTCCCTTCTCCACCACCATCCTCTCCCTTCTCCACCACCATCCTCTCTCCACCACCACCCTCTCCCTTCTCCACCACCACCCTCTCCCTTCTCCACCACCACCCTCTCCCTTCCCCACCATCATCCTCCCCGTTTTCCACCACCATCCTCTCCCTTCTCCACCACCATCCTCCCCCTTCCCCACCATCATCCTCACCATCATCCTCTCCCTTCTCCACCACCATCCTCTCCCTTCTCCACCACCATCCTCTCCCTTCTCCACCACCATCCTCACTTTTCCCCACCACCAACATCTCCGTAGAGAGAAATGTCCGGGTAACTCTCTGGTCCTTAAAAATAATGGAGCAGAGGCTATGTGGAGAGGAATGGAGAGTTACGAGGATATTCCCCTACATAAAACAAATCCCTACTTAAAACACATCCCTACTCTTACAAAACATTCTAAAGAGCCATGAAACATGCATTGTGGAGAACAGCTCACGACGGAGCACGTGGAGGAAGTGATGTGTACATGTGTGTCGAGATGGAAGTCTGTAAATATCTGTACATGAGGAATTTAATGTGCATATAAACTGATTTTAATGAACACACATTGCTCTTTGTGTTGTTTTTGTGAGCAAGCATATATAAAGGATATAATACATCTGTAAAACATCCCATTTCACAACACCAGAGCTGTGCCCTGCGCAGCAGTATCAGTAGAATATAGGTACGCTTAACGCCGCTTTCAAAAGTATTTCAGTATCACGGGACGACCGCTTGGAGGAAACATAAAGTTTGTTGGTTGGTTTGTTGTTGAACGCCGCAATATGACAGCGGTCTGTAAATAATGGAGTCTGGACTAGTACTAGCAGTTACACACACAAACAAGCGTGCATCTACGTCGATATATAAGTGCAATAGTCTTTAACGCGACGTTTAACCTCACTGCACCTCACCACTAAGAAATATATCCTTAGTGTTAATTAAGTGCTGATAGAGAAATTACATTTTAGATATCAATATTACGTTTCGAATTTGTTATATCTAGAAGCGATTTAGTGATGCAAGAAATAGTTTGTGATTTCAAGAATTCCTTAAACATTATTTTTTAATGATAAATATCAATATCAAAGACTTCATTTGGATACAGTGTGTTAGGAGAGGGTGGGGGCTCATGGAAAGAAATGTTACATAAATGTTACATAAAACAGGGGTCAGCAAAATATGTTGCAGTAGTCCTTGTCGTCTTTTGACTAGTGGTAGTGTATGCACCCGTGAAGATCCGGGTAGAATAGGTTTTTAGTTTAAACATATTTTATTCAGATTGAAATGGACTGGGAACAAGTTCTCCAACTGAGGACTCCCTCTCCATGGTATTTACATAAGCTTGTACAGTAAATCATATACAAGGAAAACAGAAAAGAAGATGAATGTATAGCTAACAAAAGAAATGTACAAAAGAGATACCAGTATATTTACATTTAAGTGTTACCCAAATCTCTTTGTATGTCTTATAAACATTTGAACTGCTTTAAAGATATGTTGATTTTTCGATAATGGACAAATATTCATTTCCGTTGAACATCAAACTTAAATCTAATTTAACATTTTTGTTCACGGCGTTCTGTAAAATGTCCCGAATAGGTAGAGTAGGTCCTCAGCAACCCATGCTTGCCGGAAAAAGAGACTATGTTTGTCGTAAGAGGCGACTAACGCGATCGGGTAGTCGGGCTCGCTGTCTTGGTTGATGCTTGCAGAGACCATTCAAGGGTATATGGTCTCTGATGCATGTCATCGTATCCCAACTGCGTGGATCGATGCTCGTGATGTCAATCACTCACTTGTCTGGTCCAGACTCGATTATTTACAGACCGCCGTCATATGCCTGGAATATTGCTAAGTGCGGTGTTAAACAACAAACAAACAAACTAGTATATATGAGTGACCACGTGGATACGATTATTCAGACTGATTAAATATGCCTGGAATATTGCTAAGTGCGGTGTTAAACAACAAACGTGGATACGATTATTCAGACTGATTAAAATCCGGACACTCTAGAAAGGGAGTTAACTCGCATTTTGTACTTCCGTGACTTCAAAAATAGACCTAGGTATTTCCTATTTTCCGCACTTGATTTAATGTTAATGGTAAGCTGGAAGAAAAGAACAAGGCCACGTCCATGTTGAAGAATGTCAGAAAATGAACAGTATTTTATCCTGCTCCTTAAGAAACTGGGCAAGAAGAAGGAGCGAGGGTTTGTGTCGTCACTCAAATCGGGGTCCAAAGTTGAGTTATTAGCAGGAACACTTCTTGTGCTAACTGATAACTTCAGTAAAGGAGACAAATTGATCTTCCTTCTTGAAACTTTAGATAGTGAAACAGTTGAAATTCAGTGTATTCCAGGAGAAATAGAAACTGTCGGCCTGGGAGCTTTAGATCTGCTCAATCCAGTGCCAACATGTCAGGACAGACTCGCTGTTTATCAAGACAAGGAATGGATGAAAGAAGGCCTTGTATTAAAACAAGGCGATCATGTGTTAGTGAAACCAAAAGGAGAACAAACGGAATTACCAGGAATCCTTCGCTACAAAGGCAAAGTACCAAATATTAAAGGAATCATATTTGGTGTTGAGTTGACAGTAGGTAGACCCGCATGTGTTTTCAAATCCTATTTATGATATTCTGACGCCATACGTCATATGCCCCAGGATGTTACATGTGTCTCCTTTTATAGTTTATTGATTCGATGTATACTTTGTCTATACACTGCTGAGTAGTATCCACCTTAATACTTACAATATAACACTTGGCTACAACCAGCCCAGAAACGTGTAGGCCTGCTTTATAAACATTGATATGATTCATCAGTTTACATCTAGCAAAAATTAACATCCTTGTTGTGAGATTGTGCTAAAGAACACATATTCCGTGAGACAACCTCTATTTGATTTTGAACCATTGTAAATGTGTAAACAGGTCATGGACGACTATTTTATCATATAACTACTGAAGTTTGAGGTATCTGACATTTAGGGTCCTACTATTTAACGTCCGGGAGTTTTTTGATACAGTGCAGTCAGTTAATATAACAGTTTGGTAAGATCGTGAGAATATCAACTGGCATACAAATAAATAGAACACACAGCAAAATAAAATCAAACAAAAATGACTACAAGTAACAAGGTAAAAAATATGTAATAGGCCATGAAGGGTTTTTTCATCCAACAAGGTGGACGTAATGGAAATTACAGACAAATTTGTTTAAAAAATGTTTGTTTGTTGTTTAACGCCACACTCAGTAATATTCCAGCTATATGGCGGCAGTCTGTAAATAATCGAGTCCAGAAAATCCAATCAACCAAGTCAGCGACCTGACCACTCGATCCTGTTAGTCGCCTTTTAACAAGCATGGGTTGCTGAAGACCAATTCTAAACCGGATCTTTGTGGGTTGTATGTTCAGTTGTTTGTTTGTTGTTGTTTTTCTGCACTCAGCAATATTTCAGTATATGATGGCGGTCTATAAATAATCATGTCTGGACCAGACAATCCAGTGATTGACATCATAAAAAGAATAGTCGTGTGTGTAATTTTTTTCTAGCTATATCTTGTTTTTTATAATTAATACAAGTACACAATTATATAGAATACACTTTATTATTTAGTATCATTCTCCCGGACGTTCCCACCAGATGCTCTGGTATTTATTGCTTTCCCATTTCAAATCAATGTACTTCTTCTCAAGGAAAATCAAGGAAGTGGTACTAGTGATGGCCAGTTTAGAAGAGAGCGGTACTTCACTTGTCCTCCTGATTCTGCGGTCTTCTGTCCAATACATCGTATACATAAACAAACTATGGGTGGGAGTAGAGTGCCCCGGCGGGCAGACAAGGACCTGTATGCCACCGCCTCCCACATACCCAGCCAGGACTACCCCAACTGTGGACTGCGTCTTGGAGACAGGGTGGTGTGGATGAGTGACCGGGGACCAGAGTGTGGGACGGTCAAGTGGATAGGAGTGCTGCCAGAGGATCGCAATGCTGAACTTACTGTGGGGGTAGAATTTGTAAGTTGTTGCATGCAAGCTGTAGCCTAGTGCTCAATGTACCTGCTTGTCATTACCCCACTAATGACATTCACCTTATTTAGCAACAACAAATCTGCATTTTTGCTTATGTCAATTGTTTTCAAAGTTACACACCAAACGTTACCTTGAAAGACAATGTTGACTAGCAAAGCACAGCGACTCATAGTCAGTGCTTGTCTATTGATTATTAGCAAAAACAAAGGGAGGCAACTAAGGCAATAATTTTCATACACAAGATGTAATACCGTATTCGACGTAATAAGCGCCCAGGGCGCTCTCAAAATTAGAAATAGGGGGCTCTTATTAGAATATTATTTTGGCAAAAAAAAACAGAGTTGAAAGATAAATTTCGTGGTTTATGCTGACGGTCTGAACTGTTTATATACGACAGATATATTTTTCCAGAATTTAATTGCCCATAATTAAGGGTGCATATAACGCACGAGTGCGTATTATACACAAATAAATAAGTCTTGTGTACATTGATCAATCGGAATGGATGCTAATTGGGATTGTTCACTTCCCAATATATTAGCAAATATCGCCCTGGGCGCTTATTAGAGCGGGGCGCTAATTACGTCGAATACGGTATGCATTTTGTTGGCCTACTGCAGCCATGTGTGCTGCTGACGAGAGGTATCTGTCCTTGTCAACACATTTCCCTTCCTCTGGTAGTCGATTCCTTGAAAAAGGATTCGAGTCCACCTTATCAAGCAATAAGGACTACCACTGTATCTAGAATAGAGGGATATATATCTGTAATAACATTATGTATGTATGTGTATTCAAGAAAACATTTAATGTATAAATAATAAGTCTGTTACACCATCTTATGTTCTTCAGAGTAAACCAATGAAACCTGAAAATGTAACTAGGTGTGGTACATATGTGACATGGGTATACCCAAAATGAGGATTAAAATAATACCCTGTAACATAATGTGTGTAGATCACTAAATATGCACTGGAAGACTTAGGTAGAGCTTTACCTGACTGCTGTTTTGTATGTTACAGGTGTATGTCCTACTAAGTCTGCCTCCACACCTGAGGACACAATTTACACGATGTGTCAAGATGTACATATGTTTGGATCTTCGATCTAAGATTGTATTTTTCAATTGCTCAAAGTTCAGTTTCATTCATCATTTAGTTATGACTGCTTTTTTTCAGGACAACCCAGTGGGGTCAGGCACAGGAAAATATAAAGAACACCGACTATTTTATGCTCGGCAAAATCATGCATCACTTGTTCCTATACTAGGCTTGTTAAAAGAAGAGGAGTTTTTCAGTCCAGGTAATTACTTAATCTAGTTCAGATTACACATAATGGCGATGTCCACTACATGCATGCAGTCTTAGGAAAACATTTATTCACCTGTGATTGTGTATGTGGCAGCCAAAATCTTTTCCCGTATAAATTACAACTCACATATATATTGACTAGGCATCAAAAGTGTGTAGTGCAACTGCATCATAAGCAAACACCCCTACTGGAAATATGGGAGCCATTCAAGGAACATAATTAATCAACTCAAATCATCTGCTTCAATTGGAGGTTGTTATAATGATTCCAAACATCTGATTGACAAATCAGAATTGCGTTTTTTCCAAAGTTAGGAAATTTAGGAGATAAACTGAGTTTGACATAAAATAACAGTGTAATTAGATTGGACGGCAACTTTTAGCGTTGTTGACTCCAAATGAAGCTTTGGTAGCAAATCCGTAAAGTGCAAGTATCATAAGACACAGTACTAGATTTTTCTTACATCATTTTGCCGCCAGTGTGATGTACAATGTGATGGCTGAGAAAAAATGTGTGAAAATGAAACATAGTGTTGTTGCACCTAATTAATAGTACTTATTTTGAGGTCTGTATTTGTAACAACCCAAAACGAATCTTAAAGTGCTAATAAGGAGGCGTGGCTTCATTAGCACAGGTGACTAGGCCTCCAAGGTGATTGAATATTACCACCAGTATGGTACAGAACATACAGTGTTCCTGATGGCTGTTGAAACTGCCAGTCCTTATGGACTGGTAACTCTAAAAATTACCAGTCCCCCCTAATTTGCAAGTCCCAACTTTCAACAAATAAAAAAACGTATGCAAATTATTTGGATTTAATTCTTTCAACATCATACTCAGTGCAAAGATGTCATCTCTGAGGTAACTTGGTTAGATCTATCAGTCATTCACACAAACTTCAGTCACAATTTACTCTCGTTTTTTTAATATTTGAGACGAAATCGCTACAAATGGAAATAGACAAGGGGACACCCTTTTGGTAACAGACAAGCTGACTTTGTTAAAAAAATGTACTTATATGAATATCACCAATGTTTTGTTCAGCAACAAAGATTAATAAGGTACTGTATTTGCCGGTCCACAGGGACTGGCAGTCACATGAATTACCAGTCCAAGCCTAATTTTACCGGTAAAAACTGGTAATTACCGGTAAAGAGGAATGCTAATATACATGATCATTCATCATTAGTTGTGGGGAGATCTGTGTTGTATATTTAATATGGTATGGATTCCATGTATGTCAAGCATATGGCAAGTGGGTGTGTGTCGAGTAACCTTGATTTATCATGAATTATATAATTTTAACATTGTAAGATATTTACCTTTTCAATTTTAGGGGTGCGTGTAATGTAATGCATTATGAGTGACTTGGATTTCCAGAGTCTCTGACATGTCAGTATGACATAGCACTTGTAGTGCTATTTCAAGACTGCAACTTGATATTGTGATTTGGAGAAAATAAACTACACAACGAACCAATCAGTGTTTTGCAATCACTTGCAATCCATGCGTCCAAGATTTGGATCATTCCTGATTATTTGATTCACTATTGTATGCAGGGGTTCACTTATACTTCTTCCTCAAAAATCATCAATTCATAATAGTGGTATTCCAGAATAGTCAATCCCCGGTGGTCCTGTACTCTTTACACATGTGCATCCTGCATCAACTCACCAGCATCAAATGGTATTTTCACTGCCTTTAGAAATATAGCAGCCTTTCTAAGTCCACCAGATTTACATTTTAAAATTCAATTGGCACATAGCTCCTTCACAATTTGATATGATACATGCACCTTGTCTGCTTAGCAATACCTGGACTTTTTATCCTGCAAATTCTATTATTTTTTTATGTATAAATATTGATCAAACTGTCTATGCATCACAATTGTACATGTTCTTACGGCAATACATTGGTGATAATTATTTATCTATTTATCTCACCTCCGGCAACCTTGTCAAAATAAGAAATTAGTTTTGTCATATAGAAAGTTCCTCTTCAATAAATGTTCCCATTAACACAATATTAAAACCAAATGTCAGTGATACTTGTCTGTGATGCGAAAAAATTGTTTTCATAATATTATAATTATTTCAAGGTTATCTACATATCTCTCAAATGATTGGTTTGGGTCGTATTCCAGACTAGTGTTTATGTTTAAGGTGGTATTCCAGACATGATAAGAGTTTGGATGGTATTACAGGCTGGTGGTTAGGGTGTGAGTGGTATTACAGGCTGGTGGTTAGGGTGTGTGTGGCGTAACAGGCTGGTGGTTAGGGTGTGAGTAGCATTACAAGCTGGTGGTTAGGGTGTGTGTGGCGTAACAGGCTGGTGGTTAGGGTGTGAGTGGTATTACAAGCTGGTGGTTAGGGTGTGAGTGGTAATAAAGGCTGGTGGTTAGGGTGTGAGCGGTATAACAGGCTGGTGGTTAGGGTGTGAGTGGTATTACAGGCTGGTGGTTAGGGTGTGAGTGGTATTACAAGCTGGTGGTTAGGGTGTGAGTGGTAATAAAGGCTGGTGGTTAGGGTGTGAGTGGTATTACAAGCTGGTGGTTAGGGTGTGAGTGGTATTACAAGCTGGTGGTTAGGGTGTGAGTGGTAATAAAGGCTGGTGGTTAGGGTGTGAGCGGTATAACAGGCTGGTGGTTAGGGTGTGAGTGGTATTACAGGCTGGTGGTTAGGGTGTGAGTGGTATTACAGGCTGGTGGTTAGGGTGTGAGTGGTATAACAGGCTGGTGGTTAGGGTGTGAGTGGTATTAAAGGCTGGTGGTTAGGATGTGTCTGGTATTACAAGCTGGTGGTTAGGGTGTGAGTGGTATAACAGGCTGGTGGTTAGGATGTGAGTGGTACAACAGGCTGGTGGTTAGGATGTGAGTGGTATTACAGGCTGGTGGTTAGGATGTGTCTGGTATTACAGGCTGGTGGTTAGGATGTGAGTGGTATTACAGGCTGGTGGTTAGGATGTGTCTGGTATTACAGGCTGGTGGTTAGGGTGTGTGTGGTATACCAGGCTGGTGGTTAGGGTGTGAGTGGTATTACAAGCTGGTGGTTAGGGTGTGAGTAGTATTACAGGCTGGTGGTTAGGGTGTGTGTGGTATAACAGGCTGGTGGTTAGGGTGTGAGTGGTATAACAGGCTGGTGGTTAGGGTGTGAGTGGTATTAAAGGCTGGTGCCTTTTTTCGAAAGGCGACAAACCCTTGCTTATTTTACTCGATTGTCACAGCAAAACAATTTGCTCAGTTGACACAATTTTTGTTGATATACCTCTTTGACATGATTTAATGTTAACAACAATAGTTTTCACTAATATGCAGTTCCTGCAGATCCAATCAACCCATGTAACATGGACTTTTTAATAATTGTACTGCTGAGGACGGCTGGTAAGGTGGCCCAGTAGGTAAGGTATTCACTTGTTAAGGCCAGGTTTCTATTCCCCGATGACGATACAGTGAGTGAAGAATTCTGGTGGTGACCCCAGACATGATCAGGCTGCAATATTGATAAAAACAGCTTAAAACAGAACTCATTCACTCATTTCTTTAATATCTATTACATATCTTGGTTTTATCTATGAAACTAGGTATTATCTATGAACCTAGGTATTATTTATGAAATGAGGTATTATTTATGAAACAAGGTATTATTCATGAAACAAGGTATTATATATCATGTATATGAAAATAGATATTATATATGAATCTAGGTATTATCTTTGAAAATAGGTAATATCCATGAAAATATATATCATTCATGAAACTAGGTATTATTCAGGAAACTAGGTATTATTTATGAACCTAGGTATTATTTATGAAACAAGGTATTATTTATGAAAAAAGATATTATATATGAAACGAGGTTTATTTATGAAACTAGGTTTTATCTATGAAAATAGATATTATTTTTGAAACTAGGTATTATTTATGAAACAATGTATTATTTATGAAAATAAATATTATTTGTGAAACTAGGTATTTATGAAAATAGATATTATATATGAACCAAAGTTTTATCTTTGAAAATAGGTAATATCCATGAAAATAGATATTATTTATGAAACAAGGTATTATTTATGAAACTAGGTATTATTTATGAAACTAGGTATTATTTGAGACTAGGTATTATTGATGAAACAAAGTATTATTTATGAAACTATGTATTATTTTTGAAAATAGATATTATTTATGAAACAAGGTATTATTTATGAAACTAGATATTTTTTTTATGAAAATAGGTATTATTTATGAAAAAAGATATTATTTATGAAACTAGGTATTATTTATGAAACTATGTATTTTTGAAAATAGATATTATTTATGAAACAAGGTATTATTTATGATACTAGGTTTTATCTATGAAACAAGGTATTATTTATAAAACTATGTATTATTTATGAAAATAGATATTATTCATGAAACTAGGTATTATTCATGAAACAAGGTATTATTCATGAATCTAGGTACTATTCATGAAACTTGGTATTATTTATGAAAATAGACATTATTCATGAAAATAGATTTTATATTGTAAATGTTTTCTGTTTGTAATCAGGTTTCACTCAAGGCGATTACAGAGATGAGCATATCAATGTTGTACACCTAGATCATCAACATACTGGTTCATCAGGGCATAAACTGCTGGACTATAACACAGATAATGAACAGGACATCTCCTTAAGTAAACGGGATTTTTCTGAGGTTCTCAAACACGGGAAGAAGACCACTGAAGAATTTAAGGATAACGTGCAGGGAAATAACCTTGATTTTGGCATGGCGGAGAAAGTGCGTGACATGAAGGTATATGGATTATCAGGGGATCTGGTGTCAAGGAAGAACCCTCTGTATAATTCTAAAGGTACGTATTAGAATAGTCTTTACATGTTGAGTTAAGCATATTTTTCTTAATTGCAATTAACCTATTGCCAGGTCTCAGTTCACAACGCGCCAAATATCCGAGGAGAATTAGACATCCACATAGGTTTTTATACTATCCGCTTGTAATAACATCACACGTTATATTTCCAGTGATATTGATGTTTTCCACAACCTGAGTCATGGCTCCCGATATCTTCTTTAGCCATTGACTATTATACTCACTTGTTATCATTCACATTAGGGATTGATAGTTTTCTGTGGGTATTCAGTGTTTATTACTCCCTTGAGTCCTGTCTATTGGGTATTTTTGAGAAGTGTAGACATATTTTTTAATGATTCTGCTTGAAATGCTGTTTCCGGTGATTTCTAATTTTGTATGTTGTGTGCTGCCCCAAGTGTTTAACATGTTGCATACAATTCACAGAACAATATATATGTGTCTACTTAATAACAAAGGAGATGGTAGTGTCTTTTTTATGCATTATTTACTGCAGTAGGGTTCATGTATGTGGAATGCCTGCACTCGATCAGTAAAAATAAACATCTGTAAAGAAATACATGCACACAAGTAAAAATGGATACATTGGGTAACTATGCAGAATGATGTTATACTGTTAAGTTTTAAATGTTTCATGCATATTTGTATGCAGGCAACTCAGAATTATCTGGTTAATGGGGATTTAGTTTGCACATTTTACACAATTAGGCTGCTTTTCTTGAGCCCTGATGAGTGTCAGATGTATTTCACCCATCACTGAGTATTTCAATCAATACGTTATGTATAATCAAATATAATTATCATAATGATTGGAGAGAGAATGCAACAAACTGATAAGATGATTACAGAAGGTGGCATGTATTTGAGGGTATATACAGAAGGTAGCATGTATTGGAGGGTGTAGCATGGATTGGAGGGTGAATACAGAAGGTAGCATGTATTGGAGGGTAAATACAGAAGGTAGCATGTATTGGAGGGTAAATACAGAAGGTAGCATGTATTTGAGGGTGTATCATGTATTGGAGGGTGAATACAGAAGGTAGCATGTATTGGAGGGTAAATACAGAAGGTAGCATGGATTGGAGGGTGTAGCATGTATTAGAGGGTGAATACAGAAGGTAGCATGGATTGGAGGGTGTAGCATGTATTGGAGGGTGAATACAGAAGGTAGCATGGATTGGAGGGTGTAGCATGTATTGGAGGGTGAATACAGAAGGTAGCATGGATTGGAGGGTATATACAGAAGGTAGCATGGTTTGGAGGGTGAATACAGAAGGTAACATGGTTTGGAGGGTAAATACGAAGGTAGCATGGTTTGGAGGGTGAATACAGAAGGTAACATGGTTTGGAGGGTGAATACAGAAGGTAACATGGTTTGGAAGCTGAATACAGAAGGTAACATGGTTTGGAGGGTAAATACAGAAGGTAACATGGTTTGGAGGGTGAATACAGAAGGTAACATGGTTTGGAAGGTGAATACAGAAGGTAACATGGTTTGGAGGGTAAATACAGAAGCTAACATGGTTTCGAGGGTGAATACAGAAGGTAACATGGTTTGGAGGGTGAATACAGAAGGTAGCATGGATTGGAGGGTGTAGCATGGATTGGAGGGTGTAGCATGGATTGGAGGGTGAATACAGAAGGTAGCGTGTATTGGAGGGTAAATACAGAAGGTAGCGTGTATTCGAATGTGAATACAGAAGATAGCATGGATTGGAGCGTAAATACAGAAGGTAGCATGGATTGGAGGGTGAATACAGAAGGTAGCATGGATTTGAGCGTGAAGACAGAAGGTAGCATGGATTGGAGGATGAATACAGAAGGTAGCATCTATTGGAGGGTGAATACAGAAGGTAGCATGGATTGGAGGGTGAATGCAGAAGGTAGCATGGATTGGAGGGTGAATACAGAAGGTAGCATGGATTGGAGGGTGAATACAGAAGGTAGCGTCTATTGGAGGGTGAATACAGAAGGTAGCATGGATTGGAGGGTGAATGCAGAAGGTAGCATGGATTGGAGGATGAATACAGAAGGTAGTGTCTATTGGAGGGTGAATACAGAAGGTAGCATGGATTGAAGGATGAAAACAGAAGGTAGCATGGATTGGAGGGTGAATTTAGAAGATAGCGTAGATTGGAGGGTGAATACAGAAGATAGCATCGATTGGAGGGTGAATACAGAAGGTAGCATGGATTGGAGGTTGAATACAGAAGGTAGCATGGATTGGAGGGTGAATACAGAAGGTAGCATGGATTGGAGCGTAAATACAGAAGGTAGCATGGATTGGAGGGCGAATACAGAAGGTAGCATGGATTGGAGCGTGAAGACAGAATGTAGCATGGATTGGAGGAAGAATACAGAAGGTAGCATGGATTTGAAGGTGGATTTAGAAGATAGCGTAGATTGGAGGGTGAATACAGAACATAGCATGGATTGGAGCGTAAATACAGAAGGTAGCATGGATTGGAGGGTGAATACAGAAGGTAGCATGGATTGGAGGGTGAATACAGAAGGTAGCGTCTATTGGAGGGTGAATACAGAAGGTAGCATGGATTGGAGGATGAATACAGAAGGTAGCGTCTATTGGAGGGTGAATATAGAAGGTAGCATGGATTGGAGGGTGAATGCAGAAGGTAGCATGGATTGGAGGGTGAATACAGAAGGTAGCATGGATTGGAGGGTGAATACAGAAGGTAGCGTCTATTGGAGGGTAAATACAGAAGGTAGCATGGATTGGAGGGTGTAGCATGTATTAGAGGGTGAATACAGAAGGTAGCATGGATTGGAGGGTGTAGCATGTATTGGAGGGTGAATACAGAAGGTAGCATGGATTGGAGGGTGTAGCATGTATTGGAGGGTGAATACAGAAGGTAGCATGGATTGGAGGGTATATACAGAAGGTAGCATGGTTTGGAGGGTGAATACAGAAGGTAACATGGTTTGGAGGGTAAATACGAAGGTAGCATGGTTTGGAGGGTGAATACAGAAGGTAACATGGTTTGGAGGGTGAATACAGAAGGTAACATGGTTTGGAAGGTGAATACAGAAGGTAACATGGTTTGGAGGGTAAATACAGAAGGTAACATGGTTTGGAGGGTGAATACAGAAGGTAACATGGTTTGGAAGGTGAATACAGAAGGTAACATGGTTTGGAGGGTAAATACAGAAGCTAACATGGTTTCGAGGGTGAATACAGAAGGTAACATGGTTTGGAGGGTGAATACAGAAGGTAGCATGGATTGGAGGGTGTAGCATGGATTGGAGGGTGTAGCATGGATTGGAGGGTGAATACAGAAGGTAGCGTGTATTGGAGGGTAAATACAGAAGGTAGCGTGTATTCGAATGTGAATACAGAAGATAGCATGGATTGGAGCGTAAATACAGAAGGTAGCATGGATTGGAGGGTGAATACAGAAGGTAGCATGGATTTGAGCGTGAAGACAGAAGGTAGCATGGATTGGAGGATGAATACAGAAGGTAGCATCTATTGGAGGGTGAATACAGAAGGTAGCATGGATTGGAGGGTGAATGCAGAAGGTAGCATGGATTGGAGGGTGAATACAGAAGGTAGCATGGATTGGAGGGTGAATACAGAAGGTAGCGTCTATTGGAGGGTGAATACAGAAGGTAGCATGGATTGGAGGGTGAATGCAGAAGGTAGCATGGATTGGAGGATGAATACAGAAGGTAGTGTCTATTGGAGGGTGAATACAGAAGGTAGCATGGATTGAAGGATGAAAACAGAAGGTAGCATGGATTGGAGGGTGAATTTAGAAGATAGCGTAGATTGGAGGGTGAATACAGAAGATAGCATCGATTGGAGGGTGAATACAGAAGGTAGCATGGATTGGAGGTTGAATACAGAAGGTAGCATGGATTGGAGGGTGAATACAGAAGGTAGCATGGATTGGAGCGTAAATACAGAAGGTAGCATGGATTGGAGGGCGAATACAGAAGGTAGCATGGATTGGAGCGTGAAGACAGAATGTAGCATGGATTGGAGGAAGAATACAGAAGGTAGCATGGATTTGAAGGTGGATTTAGAAGATAGCGTAGATTGGAGGGTGAATACAGAACATAGCATGGATTGGAGCGTAAATACAGAAGGTAGCATGGATTGGAGGGTGAATACAGAAGGTAGCATGGATTGGAGGGTGAATACAGAAGGTAGCGTCTATTGGAGGGTGAATACAGAAGGTAGCATGGATTGGAGGATGAATACAGAAGGTAGCGTCTATTGGAGGGTGAATATAGAAGGTAGCATGGATTGGAGGGTGAATGCAGAAGGTAGCATGGATTGGAGGGTGAATACAGAAGGTAGCATGGATTGGAGGGTGAATACAGAAGGTAGCGTCTATTGGAGGGTAAATACAGAAGGTAGCATGGATTGGAGGGTGTAGCATGTATTAGAGGGTGAATACAGAAGGTAGCATGGATTGGAGGGTGTAGCATGTATTGGAGGGTGAATACAGAAGGTAGCATGGATTGGAGGGTGTAGCATGTATTGGAGGGTGAATACAGAAGGTAGCATGGATTGGAGGGTATATACAGAAGGTAGCATGGTTTGGAGGGTGAATACAGAAGGTAACATGGTTTGGAGGGTAAATACGAAGGTAGCATGGTTTGGAGGGTGAATACAGAAGGTAACATGGTTTGGAGGGTGAATACAGAAGGTAACATGGTTTGGAAGGTGAATACAGAAGGTAACATGGTTTGGAGGGTAAATACAGAAGGTAACATGGTTTGGAGGGTGAATACAGAAGGTAACATGGTTTGGAAGGTGAATACAGAAGGTAACATGGTTTGGAGGGTAAATACAGAAGCTAACATGGTTTCGAGGGTGAATACAGAAGGTAACATGGTTTGGAGGGTGAATACAGAAGGTAGCATGGATTGGAGGGTGTAGCATGGATTGGAGGGTGTAGCATGGATTGGAGGGTGTAGCATGGATTGGAGGGTGAATACAGAAGGTAGCGTGTATTGGAGGGTAAATACAGAAGGTAGCGTGTATTCGAATGTGAATACAGAAGATAGCATGGATTGGAGCGTAAATACAGAAGGTAGCATGGATTGGAGGGTGAATACAGAAGGTAGCATGGATTTGAGCGTGAAGACAGAAGGTAGCATGGATTGGAGGATGAATACAGAAGGTAGCATCTATTGGAGGGTGAATACAGAAGGTAGCATGGATTGGAGGGTGAATGCAGAAGGTAGCATGGATTGGAGGGTGAATACAGAAGGTAGCATGGATTGGAGGGTGAATACAGAAGGTAGCGTCTAATGGAGGGTGAATACAGAAGGTAGCATGGATTCGAGGGTGAATGCAGAAGGTAGCATGGATTGGAGGATGAATACAGAAGGTAGTGTCTATTGGAGGGTGAATACAGAAGGTAGCATGGATTGAAGGATGAAAACAGAAGGTAGCATGGATTGGAAGGTGAATTTAGAAGATAGCGTAGATTGGAGGGTGAATACAGAAGATAGCATCGATTGGAGGGTGAATACAGAAGGTAGCATGGATTGGAGGTTGAATACAGAAGGTAGCATGGATTGGAGGGTGAATACAGAAGGTAGCATGGATTGGAGCGTAAATACAGAAGGTAGCATGGATTGGAGGGCGAATACAGAAGGTAGCATGGATTGGAGCGTGAAGACAGAATGTAGCATGGATTGGAGGAAGAATACAGAAGGTAGCATGGATTTGAAGGTGGATTTAGAAGATAGCGTAGATTGGAGGGTGAATACAGAACATAGCATGGATTGGAGCGTAAATACAGAAGGTAGCATGGATTGGAGGGTGAATACAGAAGGTAGCATGGATTGGAGGGTGAATACAGAAGGTAGCGTCTATTGGAGGGTGAATACAGAAGGTAGCATGGATTGGAGGGTGAATGCAGAAGGTAGCATGGATTGGAGGATGAATACAGAAGGTAGCGTCTATTGGAGGGTGAATATAGAAGGTAGCATGGATTGGAGGGTGAATGCAGAAGGTAGCATGGATTGGAGGGTGAATACAGAAGGTAGCATGGATTGGAGGGTGAATACAGAAGGTAGCGTCTATTGGAGGGTGAATACAGAAGGTAGCATGGATTGGAGGGTGAATACAGAAGGTAGCATGGATTGGAGGGTGAATACAGAAGATAGCGTAGATTGGAGGGTGAATACAGAACATAGCATGGATTGGAGCGTAAATACAGAAGGTAGCATGGATTGGAGGGTGAATACAGAAGATAGCGTAGATTGGAGGGTGAATACAGAACATAGCATGGATTGGAGCGTAAATACAGAAGGTAGCATGGATTGGAGGGTGAATACAGAAGGTAGCATGGTTTGGAGGGTGAATACAGAAGATAGCATGGATTGGAGGGTGAATACAGAAGGTAGCATGGATTGGAGGTTGAATACAGAAGGTAGCATGGATTGGAGGGTGAATGCAGAAGGTAGCATTGATTGGAGCGTGAAGACAGAAGGTAGCATGGATTGGAGGATGAATACAGAAGGAAAGCCAAATAAGGTTTTAGTAAATCCTCCCTTTGTAAACTACCTCTGTATAACAGGTAATAGAAAGAATAGACAGGTATATTTTCATTCTCAAAGAAAAATAAAAATCTCTGCGCCTGTGAAAGGACGAATCTTGTGTGTTGAACTCAGCAAATATCCTTTCACAAGAGAGTCACAATAGAATGTTAATGCTAGAGCATTGAATGAATACTCTCAACTCCACAGGATTGGGGTCAGCAGTCAAAAGAAATTCACTTCCTCATTGTCCAACCTATCAGTTTTCTGTTATCAAGCCCATAGTTGCCTGCATTTCTTTGCAGGCTCTGTTGTTTAGAATGTCAACTGTAGGTGACCTGTGTTAAATAACTGACAACCTTTTTTACATAGGCAAGAAAGAAAATTTTAACTGTTAGATCATGTGCCTTTATGAATTTGTCCCATTTAATATTAGACCAACATGTTTTCATAACTTAGAGCATTTACCTTTTTTGTAGAAATTTGTAGCTGAAGAGAAATAAAAAAATATAGGCATTAAACATGCTAAAGCTGCAGTTAACAAATTAATTGTTATCTTTCAGAAACAGTACAGTCAATAACCAAATATAGTTACAAATAGTATTCCTTCTGATGCCTGTTTTTACATGAAGCCTTGATACTGCTTGCAGACTTACACTTGACCCTAACAGTAAAGAGCTCTTAAGTTGGGTCAGAGGAAACAAAGAAAAGCAAGTTAATTTTGGAAATTTCCCCATTTTCTCCGTAATCCAAGTTCTATGAACTTGCCAAAATATCAGTACAAAAGTGGCAACTTTCATGATTGCTAAAATAAAACACTGAAATCTGGAATACAGTCCATATTATGCTCTTCAACATGTCCAAGGACAAAAACTGAATAAATTTTGGAACGTTTATTTGATTAATGTGTTAAAAATGGGTTTTTGTACTGGTCTTTCCTGGTTGTAATTTTCTATATTTAGTCACAAGTAATGTCCTGGGGAATTCCCCTCTACCGGTTTATTGGAGTTATCTCCCTTCACCTGTTGGGCTATCAGGAAGAAATGAGAGATTCTGTCCCATGAACTGCATTGAATATTTATGGTAACACAGAGATGTTTGTTTTTAACAATCAGGAAGCAAAATAATGGAATGTCATATCATGGAAGCCCAAAGTGCAGTGTTAGATCATGTAGATACTATGGGTTTGTACTATGTGTTTTGTCCTGTTGTGAGAATCCTGCTGACTGAAGTTTGCTATCTGACGAGTGGTTGTTGAAGGGGACCAGTATAACCAATGTGAACAACATTGTTGGTTGTACTAAACTGAAACAATACTGGTCAGCTAGCATGCCAGGTGCTTAGATCAGTGGAGTTACTGTTGTTTATTGGTATTGCTGTTGTACAAGCTGGGACTGTTAGTTAACACTGAATGACACAGACCATGGAGACCCTGCTTGGCTTGTGTGGTGGTGACTGTTGTATATTGGTATTGCTGTTGTACAAGCTGGGACTGTTAGTTAACACTGAATGACACAGACCATGGAGACCCTGCTTGGCTTGTGTGGTGGTGACTGTTGTATATTGGTATTGCTGTTGTACAAGCTGGGACTGTTAGTTAACACTGAATGACACAGACCATGGAGACCCTGCTTGGCTTGTGTGGTGGTGACTGTTGTATATTGGTATTGCTGTTGTACAAGCTGGGACTGTTAGTTAACACTGAATGACACAGACCATGGAGACCCTGCTTGGCTTGTGTGGTGGTGACAGCAATGTTTTCTCCTCTTCTCTTGTTTGTCATGTGTATTGCTATTGCTACTTGTTAGGTATGTGAACATTTCTGATTGCGCATTATGTTTCAGTATCCCGTGTTATCCAAACACTAATTACAGAGACAACAAGAAACATGTCTGACTTCACACGTTTACCATGTTTACTCTCGCAGGCCATGATCTCAGAAGCCTGGGTATACGGGGAGCTGTGATATTGCAACACATTACACCATCTTTCTCTCATTCTTGTTCAGCAAGGGTGAAAACTGGACTTTTATAGTCGGTTAACTGCCTTGCCTTGGGAAGATAATATCCTGCACTCTATTTGAATTTTCAATCATGACCTATTCAATCAAGAATTCTGTATTACAAGTTAGTCTGTTATTACGCCCTAAATGAAATTTGCCATATGCATTATTCATGAGCTTAACTGGTGCCTTTTGCTATTTTGGAATTTTGCAAGGTTTTAAGATTGTTTTATGTGTCCATGAAAACATTTTCGACTTAGTCTCAAACAAGGGTAGGGTTCATCTCCGGGCCATAACCTTTCAACAGTTTTCTAAGACATTTCACATATGCATTGGTTATCAGTTTGGTGCCTTTTGCTATTTTAAATTCAAATTTAAGTTTAATTGTTTTATCTGCCATAAACATCATAAAGAGTCATCATGGCATCAACTGTAGATGATAAATGCATTAATCAGTATCTGTACTAGTATTATTTTGCTATAACTGTTTTTCGGATTTGCAAACACATTTATGGTAACAAGTTAAACTAAATCATAAAAACCAGTGTGGGGTGAGGGGAGACATCCGTTTTTTAGTGAAAACACATTCTATTTAAGTTTGTGAAAGAGATAGAAATGCTGTTTGATTGATCTTTTTGTTTCAAGTTTGAACTTTCTGTAGCATTTTGTCTTGGAAATTAACCCCAAGTTTACCTTGAAAATAATTTTGTATCGATATTGACCAAGAAATTTGGCCTTAATATAAAAATATACTTTTCTTTGTACTTGTTGTACTGTTCATGTTTCTTTTCATTACAGAAAATGTAGGTGAAATTAACCAATATGATAAGCATCAGGACACTTCAGTTGGTAATAGTTCCCAGAGTACCGGAAAGGTTGCTCCGACGCCAGACCCAGACCTGGGCGTGGACTCCATGGTGGAGGTGCTGGGCAACCCGCCTCTATATGGAGTCATCCGTTGGGTCGGCGCACTCCCCGACAACCCCTGGAAACAGATAGCAGGGCTGGAGATGGTATGTAGGCTATAGATATGCCAAGTGTTGTCTCATGCTGTTGTATCAGTAATCTAAAGGGCTGCAATTTGAGTTCTCCCAATGCCCAGAGGACATATGACTTGTTCACGTATAGAAAATATACTTCTAAATCATGGTAAAAAAAATTACATTCTTTGTGAAATGATACCGAAGTCCAAGGAGATCCAGGAGTTTTGATGCGGGTGTCAGAACCACAGGGAGACCATGCAGGAATAAGGGTAATGTGTGAGTGCTTAGCCTGCAGTTGTACAGTAGACATACACTGATACTCCCCTAAGAGGTAGACAAAACAAGTGGGATAATGTTGTGATACGAGGGGTGTTCATTAAAGATTTCCCCTGACCCACTTCCCATGGACTGTGGAATGAAACTTGGCATAGGTATTAGTCTTTCTCCACATAGTAACCACCAAGAGCTACACACTTCTCCCATCGTTTTATGCAACTATGGAAACCTTGCTTGTAAAAGCCCTCATTTTGGGTCTCAAACCAGGACGTTTTCCCTTCAAAAATGACTTCATGGTTGGAAAGAGGTGGAAGTCAGATGGTGCAAGGTCAGGAGAGTAAGGAGGATGTGGAAGGATTTCATAGCCACAGGACCGCGCTTCTGTCTGGGCAACATGAGAGTTGTGTACTGGACCATTGTCTTGCAGGAGACGGACACCCTTGGTCAGCATGCCACGCCTCTTAAGCTTGATAGCGTCCCGCAATTTCCGCAGCAGTGAAACATAATAAGCTCCTGTAATTGTGGTACCCTTTGCCAAGAAATCCATCATCACTACTCCGTGCTGCTCCCAAAACACTGTGAGCATGACCTTGCCTGCAGAGGGTTGGACACGTGCCTTCTCTGGGGGTGGTGACTCGACATGCTTCCATTGCATCGACTAAACTTTAGTCTCAGGATCATAGTGATAGCCCCATGTTTCATCCTGTGTGATAAGTCTGTCAAAAAAGTTTGCCTGTTTTTTTTGGCACATGTCCAAAAGATCCTTTGAGCAATTGACTCGTTCCTGCTTTTGGAAAGGTGTGAGCAACCTGGGAATCGATCGTGCAGACACCTTATGCATGTTCAAATTGTCATGGATGATTTTTTCCACAGACCCTACACTGATCTTGAGATCTTGTGCTAACTGGTGAACGGTTATACGTCGGTCTGCCAAAATGGCGGTCTCCACTTGATGGATAGTGTCCTCATCAATGGCTGAATGGGAGCGACCAGGAATGGCAGCTGTTTCTACAGATGTCCGACCAAACTTGAACTGGCGATGCCAGTGTTTAACAACGTCATATGATGGGGCATCTTCCCCATAAGTTGCTTTCATTTCATCGAAAGTTTCTTTTGGTGTGCGACCTTTCAAATATAAAAACCTTATCACTGCTCGATATTCTACTGGCTCCATTGTCACACCCTACTTGATCATAACACCTGTAAAAGTTGTAAGATTAATAGTTCGGTGCTGCAAATTCAGACATAACCCATAGATACATGTATCATTACACATGTGAAATTTCAACCAAATATGATAACCCTAAGTGGTTTAGGGAAAATCTTTAATGAACACCCCTAGTATTTGCTAGTCCTCAATGCTGATTGGACAAAGAAGTTAACTGATTGGACAGTTGAAGTGATGTGACACCACAGTGATGCATTGTTAAAATCATAACAAACTGATGACAGTGCTTCATGAGAACAATAGGTGAAGTTCAGTGAAGTTTTTCTGTAGGGTTGGTATTTCATATGTATTTATTATACCCCCGTTTACGAAGTAAATCAGGGGTATATAGCGTTCCGTTCATCCGTCCTTCCGTCCGAGCTTTTGTACGGCCCATAACTTTTTAACCATGAACCCAGCTTCACCAAACTTGCTACACACATTTACCACAATGAGTACTTTTGCCTTTTGCTAGTTTGAAGATTCTGAAGTTTTTAATTTTTGCCGTTTCCATGGAAACATTAAGAAAAACTTTTAGGGTGGGTGTTTTGTACGGCCAATATCTTTTTAACTATGCACCCTAGCTTCACCAAATTTTCTACACACATTAACCACAATGAGTACTTGTGCCTTTTGCTAGTTTGAAGATTCTGAAGTTTTTAATTTTTGCCGTTTCCATGGAATCATGGTGAAACATAAATTTTGGGTAGAGTTTTTGTACGATCCATGTTTACAATATTATGTATCCTAGCTTCAGCAAACTTGCTACATTAACCACTATGATTGTTTTTTATCTTTTATAAGATTCTGAAAGTTTTCTCTTTGCTGTTTTCATGGAAACATGATGGATTTTAGAAATTTTGATGACAGATGACAGTTTCTGTGCTTTGTGATAGTTTGAATTTATGAATTCCTTACCATATCTGTAAAGGCTAGATGGAAATTATTAATTTATTGATTTTCTTATATGATATTGTTCCATTTTTTATGTGTTTTTATATCAACAATTTTTGGTCCTTTTGATAATTCTTCTTATGTAACTCCTCAATCCTTTATTCAAAGGTGTTCATGGTGATGTACTTCCTCGTAGTGAACACTGGTAACATGGGAGATTTGGGGGGGGGGGGTCAAATGTCACTGGAACTCAATCTTAGTTTTTAAAACATTGAAGTTAAAATCAGTTAGAAATATGTAATATTTCATTAATTAACAAACTAGTTACTATTTGTTGTTGACCAGCGGGGATAACGGGGGTATGTGAGCTTTGCTATTTTCTGTCTTAAAATGACAATGGGAAATATATAGAAAAGCCTACTCAAAACTCGGAAATACAAATTATCTGTCCTTCGTGAATGAATGATGCTGTTCGTTGGATATTCTAATTGCTGGTCATAATGAATTCATCTACACAGTTACGGCATATGACTCTTTTAATTCTTACAGTTTTCGTTAAAGAACAGCCCAAGCTGTGTTAACCAACCCTACTGGTGGTGATGTGTAGGTACTCTGTAGCACTGACCTGTCTTCCAGCCTGTCTAACATGCTGTACTTTGATTCTGCAGGAGGATGAGACTTCGGCAGGCACTGATGGGACATTTAAGGGCCACCGTCTGTTTCATTGTGGACCGAAGAGAGCACTGTTTGTCCCGTTGTATAAATGCCATAAAGACAAACGCTTCCATGCAGCCAACAGGAGGAGCACAGATAGCACGTGTAAGTTAAGTCATCATACAGGTAACACTCGTACAAGGACAGGTGACACTAGCACACCTATTTATCTCAAGAAAGTATCTAAACCCTTACTGCTACCTTAGTCAGTTGAGGGTAGTAGGCCTTGATGTATCAGAAAGCAAGGGCAAACTAGCCGCCACCAGTGTCATTCCTTGCCATGTTGGTACAATGGCAGTTAGTCGTGAAGGTCAGCCATTATCCATTCTACCATGAATTTGGAATTTACTTGATTCTGATTGGTCAATCAGAGGCTATTAAATCACAATAAACCCCCACTGATTGAAACAGCTGGTTTGACGGCCGCATCACTGCGGAAGCTAATATTCATAGAATAGTACTTTTTTCAGTCATTGTCGGTAGGCATATTTAAGTAATTATATCTACAATTACATGTTACAAAATGCACCGATGCGGTTACTACAATATTCAAAGGATGTGTGGCAATACATTTCGTGCAGAAAACACGATAGAAATCTACAAAGGGAATGTTTTTTACATTTTGAAGACAACAGAGAGCTTGGAATTTTGGAGCTTTTCTATACACGACTGTGACGTCATATCTTTTGCGTCACAATGAGTGACATGACGTAATAATGGTGACGCGCGATGTAGAGCGAAAGCCTTGCAAAGCTTGCTTTGTTTTCTTTAGGGATGCCCACCTCATGTTAGCTTACCAAGTTGCTGTGCTTATATATGCTGTCTATGCCTGTCATATGTTCGAGTGAAGTATTAGGTTGTAAACAAACTGCTTGAGTATATACAGCACCATATTTTGTTCCGTGATTCCGTAATTCAGATTGATAACCCACTCAAAACACTGGACTCAACCCATGCCGCTTCACTCAGTATATTTGCTAACACCAAAGAGCGTTTTATTTAGTCATGGTAGAATGGAGATAAACATACTGTGTTTTCAATGTAGAGCTAGGTTACCTGCAGATTTAACCGCGCTAAATTTAACATTTAAAACCTCATGCTGCGCGTTCAGTTCCAAATTCAATTTAGCACAGTAAAATCTACAGGTAACCTAGCTCTACAGTAAAAACACAGTATGTTTATCTCCGAATTGTTGCCACAAGATTCCTATTTTAGTCAGAAAGGAGAAACGTTTTAAATTGTGTATAAACAAACTGTATGTTTAAGATAGTCAATGACAAGTGGACTGGCAACTCTAAACATTACCAGTCCCCCCTAATTTTTGTGTGTTCCAACTTTCAGCAAATCAAAAAATGTATGCAAATTTCCTCGTTTTCATTCATTTCGTTTATAGCTGGCAAATTCTAAGATGTCAACTTCAAAGTAACTTAGTTAGATCTTCACGTCATTCACTAAAAGTTCAGTCACAATTTTCTCTCATTCTTTTTTGAATATTCACTTGGTTCAAGACTAAGTCGCTACAGCTATAGATTTGACCCCGAAGCAAAGTGTAATGATATTTCCTTGCACAATAAATAGTAACAAACAAGCTGACTTCATTCGAAAAATATACTTCCAAGCCTAATTTGACCTGTAAAAAATGGTTATAACCAGTAAACAGGAACACTACTGCAAAAGTAGGATGAATTAGGTTATGTCTGCTGAGGGCATATCACTTTAGAATAGCTTTGTTGGAGCCTGTGTTAAGTGTGAAATTGTGGATTGGGTGGTGAAAATGGCACAGCATGGATAGCAAGTGCATTGACTCCTTGATAATAAGTTGTCAGCTGTGACCAGCCTGTCTGTCCAAATCCAATGACTTGCCTCAACTAGCTGTGTGACATTGTGTCTGTTAGCTGTGCCAGTATTCAAATATGTGTGAACCGTTAACCTGGGACAGCTGCTGTAAAGTTTGAGGTGCCATTAAACTGAGATGAAAAACATCCTCTTTGTACAATAATTTATTTATGTTTCATTTTCAGCTTTTGGAATATTAGAGACCCCCGACATATCTGGTGATGTATCACCACCATCGTCACTAGAGACTGTGAGAAAACTGATTGGTAAAAACAAGGGAATACAAGGACATCATAATTCATGCTATTTGGATGCAACTTTATTTGCAATGTTTTCTTTCACAACTGTGTTTGATTCTGTGTTATATCGACCACCAACACCAGGGGACTTGGAGGCATATGCTGATGTGCAGAAAGTACTCAAGGAAGGAATTGTGAACCCATTGAGAAAGTAAGTCTCACATGTGATTGTAGCTTGTAACAAGCCATGGTGGTAATTGTAGAGGGACAGGTCTTCAAATGCAGGTTGGTGTCAGTGAGGACTGACCTGTGTCTCATTTGTGAGGAGTTGACTGTAATGTTTGCTGTTCGGACTTCAGTTGACTGTGTTGCAGGCTGCAGTATGTAAAGTAGGGACATGTGTGACCGAGTGGGCAAAGGCTCCACAGATCGCTGTACAGAGCTGCGTCCCTTAGGTGTTTCAGACAAACCTACAATCATGTGTTTGAATCCCAGAGTCACTTACTCCCATTATGTGAGAGCCGACTAGGTGATGATGTTAATGTATTGACGGTTGTTTGTTATAGACTCCATTATGTGAAAGCTGACAAAGTGATAATGTTAATGTATTGACAGTTGTTTGTTATAGACTCCATTATGTGAGAGCTGACAAAGTGATGATGTTAATGTATTGACGGTTGTTTGTTATAGACTCCATTATGTGAGAGCTGACTGGTGATGATGTTAATGTATTGACAGTTGTTTATTATAGACTCCATTATGTGAGAGCTGACAAAGTGATGATGTTAATGTATTGACAGTTGTTTGTTATAGACTCCATTATGTGAGAGCTGACAAAGTGATGATGTTAATGTATTGACGGTTGTTTGTTATAGACTCCATTATGTGAGAGCTGACAAAGTGATGATGTTAATGTATTGACAGTTGTTTGTTATAGACTCCATTATGTGAGAGCTGACAAAGTGATGATGTTAATGTATTGACAGTTGTTTGTTATAGACTCCATTATGTGAGAGCTGACAAAGTGATGATGTTAATGTATTGACAGTTGTTTGTTATAGACTACATTATGTGAGAGTTGACAGAGTGATGATGTTAATGTATTGACAGTTGTTTATTATAGACTCCATTATGTGAGAGCTGACAAAGTGATGATGTTAATGTATTGACGGTTGTTTATTATAGACTCCATTATGTGAGAGCTGACAAAGTGATGGCCTTGCGGAAGTTTTTGGATAAACTTGGGAAGATACCTGGCATGATGGGAGAAGAGAAAGGTCAGAACAAATGAATGAACAAACAAATGCTGTTTGTAATTGTATAAACAATGTCTTGGGTTGCCTGTAACTAGTTTACTCTGGAACAGGCAATCCGGTGGCTGGAGCAACAATCAGGGTGGGGTGACGCAGTCATCCAGGGGACACATTGTGACCAACCAAGTTACTTTTTATTCTCACGACATGAATAGAATACTGGGAGCAAATGTCAACACTGTCTTACAAATGGCCTAAGATCTTTGGTTGTTGTTTTACACTCGGCCGTGTTTCAGCTGTATCAGAGGCTGTTAAAAGTGTATCAGAAATTACTAAGACAGAAGCAGTAATCAGAAATATGATTAGTTGAGTGAAACGTTTAATATAGATGAAACCTGAATTTCTAGAGTAGGACTATTGTAGTATTTTCTTTAGAAGTGTCCACCTAAAGTTGGCTTATGAAGTAGCTGTGTTTCACATTTCAGTGCCCCCTGCATGTGAGAGTAAAGTATACTGTTTCAGCTGTAGCATCCGTTGAGCATATACAGCTTCATACTTTGTTAAAAGACTATTATCATTGTTTCCTTAATTCAGATCACACTCTAAACATTGGACTCAACTCATAATCTGCACTAAGCTATAACTGTTTCCCATGTGGGTGTTGCAGATCCGGAAGAGTTTCTGAGCACCTTACTAGGACAGATAATGAGGGCTGATCCATTGCTGCATCTCAGGTGGGTCTGGTGGTAGCAGTGTAGCTACTTGTAACATTGAGGGTGTTTGGTTGTAGCAGTGTAGCTATGGTGTAACATTGAGGGTGTCTGGTTGTAGCAGTGTAGCTACTGTGTAACATTGAGGGTGTCTGGTTGTAGCAGTGTAGCTACTGTGTAACATTGAGGGTGTTTGGTTGTAGCAGTGTAGCTATGGTGTAACATTGAGGGTGTCTGGTTGTAGCAGTGTAGATACTGTGTAACATTGAGGGTGTCTGGTTGTAGCAGTGTAGCTACGGTGTAACATTGAGGGTGTCTGGTTGTAGCAGTGTAGCTACTGTGTAACATTGAGGGTGTCTGGTTGTAGCAGTGTAGCTACTGTGTAACATTGAGGATGTCTGGTTGTAGCAGTGTAGCTACTGTGTAACATTGAGGTTGTCTGGTTGTAGCAGTGTAGCTACTGTGTAACATTGAGGATGTCTGGTTGTAGCAGTGTAGCTACTGTGTAACATTGAGGGTGTTTGGTTGTAGCAGTGTAGCTACTGTGTAACATTGAGGGTGTCTGGTTGTAGCAGTGTAGCTACTGTGTAACATTGAGGGTGTTTGGTTGTAGCAGTGTAGCTATGGTGTAACATTGAGGGTGTCTGGTTGTAGCAGTGTAGCTACTGTGTAACATTGAGGGTGTCTGGTTGTAGCAGTGTAGCTACTTTGTAACATTGAGGATGTCTGGTTGTAGCAGTGTAGCTACTGTGTAACATTGAGGATGTCTGGTTGTACCAGTGTAGCTACTGTGTAACATTGAGGGTGTCTGGTTGTAGCAGTGTAGCTACTGTGTAACATTGAGGGTGTCTGGTTGTAGCAGTGTAGCTACTGTGTAACATTGAGGATGTTTGGTTGTAGAAGTGTAGCTACTGTGTAACATTGAGGATGTCTGGTTGTAGCAGTGTAGATACTGTGTAACATTGAGGGTGTCTGGTTGTAGCAGTGTAGCTACTGTGTAACATTGAGGATGTCTGGTTGTAGCAGTGTAGCTACTGTGTAACATTGAGGGTGTCTGGTTGTAGCAGTGTAGCTACTGTGTAACATTGAGGGTGTTTGGTTGTAGCAGTGTAGCTATGGTGTAACATTGAGGGTGTCTGGTTGTAGCAGTGTAGCTACTGTGTAACATTGAGGGTGTTTGGTTGTAGCAGTGTAGCTATGGTGTAACATTGAGGGTGTCTGGTTGTAGCAGTGTAGCTACTGTGTAACATTGAGGGTGTCTGGTTGTAGCAGTGTAGCTACTGTGTAACATTGAGGGTGTTTGGTTGTAGCAGTGTAGCTATGGTGTAACATTGAGGGTGTCTGGTTGTAGCAGTGTAGATACTGTGTAACATTGAGGGTGTTTGGTTGTAGCAGTGTAGCTACGGTGTAACATTGAGGGTGTCTGGTTGTAGCAGTGTAGCTACTGTGTAACATTGAGGGTGTCTGGTTGTAGCAGTGTAGCTACTGTGCAACATTGAGGATGTCTGGTTGTAGCAGTGTAGCTACTGTGTAACATTGAGGTTGTCTGGTTGTAGCAGTGTAGCTACTGTGTAACATTGAGGATGTCTGGTTGTAGCAGTGTAGCTACTGTGTAACATTGAGGGTGTTTGGTTGTAGCAGTGTAGCTACTGTGTAACATTGAGGGTGTCTGGTTGTAGCAGTGTAGCTACTGTGTAACATTGAGGGTGTTTGGTTGTAGCAGTGTAGCTATGGTGTAACATTGAGGGTGTCTGGTTGTAGCAGTGTAGCTACTGTGTAACATTGAGGGTGTCTGGTTGTAGCAGTGTAGCTACTTTGTAACATTGAGGATGTCTGGTTGTAGCAGTGTAGCTACTGTGTAACATTGAGGATGTCTGGTTGTAGCAGTGTAGCTACTGTGTAACATTGAGGGTGTCTGGTTGTAGCAGTGTAGCTACTGTGTAACATTGAGGATGTTTGGTTGTAGAAGTGTAGCTACTGTGTAACATTGAGGATGTCTGGTTGTAGCAGTGTAGATACTGTGTAACATTGAGGGTGTCTGGTTGTAGCAGTGTAGCTACTGTGTAACATTGAGGATGTCTGGTTGTAGCAGTGTAGCTACTGTGTAACATTGAGGGTGTCTGGTTGTAGCAGTGTAGCTACTGTGTAACATTGAGGATGTTTGGTTGTAGAAGTGTAGCTACTGTGTAACATTGAGGATGTCTGGTTGTAGCAGTGTAGATACTGTGTAACATTGAGGGTGTCTGGTTGTAGCAGTGTAGCTACTGTGTAACATTGAGGATGTCTGGTTGTAGCAGTGTAGCTACTGTGTAACATTGAGGGTGTCTGGTTGTAGCAGTGTAGCTACTGTGTAACATTGAGGGTGTTTGGTTGTAGCAGTGTAGCTATGGTGTAACATTGAGGGTGTCTGGTTGTAGCAGTGTAGCTACTGTGTAACATTGAGGGTGTTTGGTTGTAGCAGTGTAGCTATGGTGTAACATTGAGGGTGTCTGGTTGTAGCAGTGTAGCTACTGTGTAACATTGAGGGTGTCTGGTTGTAGCAGTGTAGCTACTGTGTAACATTGAGGGTGTTTGGTTGTAGCAGTGTAGCTACTGTGTAACATTGAGGGTGTTTGGTTGTAGCAGTGTAGCTACTGTGTAACATTGAGGGTGTCTGGTTGTAGCAGTGTAGCTACTGTGTAACATTGAGGGTGTCTGGTTGTAGCAGTGAAGCTACTGTGTAACATTGAGGATGTCTGGTGGTAGCAGTGTAGCTACTGTGTAACATTGAGGGTGTCTGGTTGTAGCAGTGTAGCTACTGTGTAACATTGAGGGTGTTTGGTTGTAGCAGTGTAGCTACTGTGTAACATTGAGGGTGTTTGGTTGTAGCAGTGTAGCTATGGTGTAACATTGAGGGTGTCTGGTTGTAGCAGTGTAGCTACTGTGTAACATTGAGGGTGTTTGGTTGTAGCAGTGTAGCTACTGTGTAACATTGAGGATGTCTGGTTGTAGCAGTGTAGATACTGTGTAACATTGAGGGTGTCTGGTTGTAGCAGTGTAGCTACTGTGTAACATTGAGGATGTCTGGTTGTAGCAGTGTAGCTACTGTGTAACATTGAGGGTGTCTGGTTGTAGCAGTGTAGCTACTGTGTAACATTGAGGGTGTTTGGTTGTAGCAGTGTAGCTATGGTGTAACATTGAGGGTGTCTGGTTGTAGCAGTGTAGCTACTGTGTAACATTGAGGGTGTTTGGTTGTAGCAGTGTAGCTATGGTGTAACATTGAGGGTGTCTGGTTGTAGCAGTGTAGCTACTGTGTAACATTGAGGGTGTCTGGTTGTAGCAGTGTAGCTACTGTGTAACATTGAGGGTGTTTGGTTGTAGCAGTGTAGCTATGGTGTAACATTGAGGGTGTCTGGTTGTAGCAGTGTAGATACTGTGTAACATTGAGGGTGTTTGGTTGTAGCAGTGTAGCTACGGTGTAACATTGAGGGTGTCTGGTTGTAGCAGTGTAGCTACTGTGTAACATTGAGGGTGTCTGGTTGTAGCAGTGTAGCTACTGTGTAACATTGAGGATGTCTGGTTGTAGCAGTGTAGCTACTGTGTAACATTGAGGTTGTCTGGTTGTAGCAGTGTAGCTACTGTGTAACATTGAGGATGTCTGGTTGTAGCAGTGTAGCTACTGTGTAACATTGAGGGTGTTTGGTTGTAGCAGTGTAGCTACTGTGTAACATTGAGGGTGTCTGGTTGTAGCAGTGTAGCTACTGTGTAACATTGAGGGTGTTTGGTTGTAGCAGTGTAGCTATGGTGTAACATTGAGGGTGTCTGGTTGTAGCAGTGTAGCTACTGTGTAACATTGAGGGTGTCTGGTTGTAGCAGTGTAGCTACTTTGTAACATTGAGGATGTCTGGTTGTAGCAGTGTAGCTACTGTGTAACATTGAGGATGTCTGGTTGTAGCAGTGTAGCTACTGTGTAACATTGAGGGTGTCTGGTTGTAGCAGTGTAGCTACTGTGTAACATTGAGGGTGTCTGGTTGTAGCAGTGTAGCTACTGTGTAACATTGAGGATGTTTGGTTGTAGAAGTGTAGCTACTGTGTAACATTGAGGATGTCTGGTTGTAGCAGTGTAGATACTGTGTAACATTGAGGGTGTCTGGTTGTAGCAGTGTAGCTACTGTGTAACATTGAGGATGTCTGGTTGTAGCAGTGTAGCTACTGTGTAACATTGAGGGTGTCTGGTTGTAGCAGTGTAGCTACTGTGTAACATTGAGGGTGTTTGGTTGTAGCAGTGTAGCTATGGTGTAACATTGAGGGTGTCTGGTTGTAGCAGTGTAGCTACTGTGTAACATTGAGGGTGTTTGGTTGTAGCAGTGTAGCTATGGTGTAACATTGAGGGTGTCTGGTTGTAGCAGTGTAGCTACTGTGTAACATTGAGGGTGTCTGGTTGTAGCAGTGTAGCTACTGTGTAACATTGAGGGTGTTTGGTTGTAGCAGTGTAGCTACTGTGTAACATTGAGGGTGTTTGGTTGTAGCAGTGTAGCTACTGTGTAACATTGAGGGTGTCTGGTTGTAGCAGTGTAGCTACTGTGTAACATTGAGGGTGTCTGGTTGTAGCAGTGAAGCTACTGTGTAACATTGAGGATGTCTGGTGGTAGCAGTGTAGCTACTGTGTAACATTGAGGGTGTCTGGTTGTAGCAGTGTAGCTACTGTGTAACATTGAGGGTGTCTGGTTGTAGCAGTGTAGCTACTGTGTAACATTGAGGGTGTTTGGTTGTAGCAGTGTAGCTATGGTGTAACATTGAGGGTGTCTGGTTGTAGCAGTGTAGCTACTGTGTAACATTGAGGGTGTTTGGTTGTAGCAGTGTAGCTACTGTGTAACATTGAGGGTGTCTGGTTGTAGCAGTGTAGCTACTGTGTAACATTGAGGATGTTTGGTTGTAGAAGTGTAGCTACTGTGTAACATTGAGGATGTCTGGTTGTAGCAGTGTAGATACTGTGTAACATTGAGGGTGTCTGGTTGTAGCAGTGTAGCTACTGTGTAACATTGAGGATGTCTGGTTGTAGCAGTGTAGCTACTGTGTAACATTGAGGGTGTCTGGTTGTAGCAGTGTAGCTACTGTGTAACATTGAGGGTGTTTGGTTGTAGCAGTGTAGCTATGGTGTAACATTGAGGGTGTCTGGTTGTAGCAGTGTAGCTACTGTGTAACATTGAGGGTGTTTGGTTGTAGCAGTGTAGCTATGGTGTAACATTGAGGGTGTCTGGTTGTAGCAGTGTAGCTACTGTGTAACATTGAGGTTGTCTGGTTGTAGCAGTGTAGCTACTGTGTAACATTGAGGGTGTTTGGTTGTAGCAGTGTAGCTACTGTGTAACATTGAGGGTGTTTGGTTGTAGCAGTGTAGCTACTGTGTAACATTGAGGGTGTCTGGTTGTAGCAGTGTAGCTACTGTGTAACATTGAGGGTGTCTGGTTGTAGCAGTGAAGCTACTGTGTAACATTGAGGATGTCTGGTGGTAGCAGTGTAGCTACTGTGTAACATTGAGGGTGTCTGGTTGTAGCAGTGTAGCTACTGTGTAACATTGAGGGTGTCTGGTTGTAGCAGTGTAGCTACTGTGTAACATTGAGGGTGTTTGGTTGTAGCAGTGTAGCTATGGTGTAACATTGAGGGTGTCTGGTTGTAGCAGTGTAGCTACTGTGTAACATTGAGGGTGTTTGGTTGTAGCAGTGTAGCTATGGTGTAACATTGAGGATGTCTGGTTGTAGCAGTGTAGCTACTGTGTAACATTGAGGGTGTCTGGTTGTAGCAGTGTAGCTACTGTGTAACATTGAGGGTGTCTGGTTGTAGCAGTGTAGCTACTGTGTAACATTGAGGATGTCTGGTTGTAGCAGTGTAGCTACTGTGTAACATTGAGGGTGTCTGGTTGTAGCAGTGTAGCTACTGTGTAACATTGAGGGTGTTTGGTTGTAGCAGTGTAGCTATGGTGTAACATTGAGGGTGTCTGGTTGTAGCAGTGTAGCTACTGTGTAACATTGAGGGTGTTTGGTTGTAGCAGTGTAGCTACTGTGTAACATTGAGGATGTCTGGTTGTAGCAGTGTAGCTGCTGTGTAACATTGAGGGTGTCTGGTTGTAGCAGTGTAGCTACTGTGTAACATTGAGGGTGTCTGGTTGTAGCAGTGTAGCTACTGTGTAACATTGAGGATGTCTGGTTGTAGCAGTGTAGCTACTGTGTAACATTGAGGGTGTCTGGTTGTAGCAGTGTAGCTACTGTGTAACATTGAGGGTGTTTGGTTGTAGCATTGTAGCTATGGTGTAACATTGAGGGTGTCTGGTTGTAGCAGTGTAGCTACTGTGTAACATTGAGGATGTCTGGTTGTAGCAGTGTAGCTACTGTGTAACATTGAGGGTGTCTGGTTGTAGCAGTGTAGCTACTGTGTAACATTGAGGGTGTCTGGTTGTAGCAGTGTAGCTACTGTGTAACATTGAGGGTGTCTGGTTGTAGCAGTGTAGCTACTGTGTGTTAGAGGATATCTGGATCCGTTCTGCGTATGAAACATCACTTGGTGTAGCGAGTGTTCTGACTGCAGTGTCTCACCCCTTCCCATCTGTTGCAGCTCGGGGGAGAAGACCAACTTTTACCAGCTGTTCATGGAGAAGGATGACATGTTACTGCTTCCCACCACCCAGAAGTTGGTGGAGCTTTCCTTCCACCAGAGTAACGTCAAGTTGAAGGAGGTGGGCGATACTGGAGTTACTAGTCACTGCCTACCTTTCAGGGTCCTGTTCCACAAAGGGATCTTAGCGTTAACGCGATCGTAATTCCCGTACTTTAACACAGCTTATGACAGTTGTAGCACGAAGATTGTTTTGTGGCACTGGGCCCTGGGCCCTGATCTCTTAGTTAAGGTATCTATAGGACTAGTAGAATTTAGTGATACCGGTACTTAGAGTTGTAGGACATCATCATCATACGGACCAGTGAGTTTCTCAAGTTATCAGAAACAACCATATATGAACCTTAGCATGTGATGTTGAACGTGACTTAGCTAGGACGTGCTGAGATTCCCTGTCTGTCCAGGCTGCATTAGTGTCAAATGTCAATCCGGACACTTACCTTTGTTTGCTGGCATAAACATTTGTATGATGCAATATCAGTCAGTAGTAGATTATTCAATGCTTGTTAAATCTGAAAGTTCTGTCTCTAGTCCTCAATACAAAGGTTTTGTCGAAATTATGTTCCTTTATCTTCCTAAGATATTGACTTTCTAACAAGCCTGGATGAATTTTTTCTCTCATTTTTTTTACCCTCTGACAGTTCAGATGTGAAACAAATAACTACAATCTAATTTACTGGTGCATCTAGTTCATGGTTGAACATGAATCACAGCATTGTATTTTACCAAGAGTTTAATGAGAATTATATGCAAGATGTAAGAATGTATTAGTTGTCAGTGGGACACTATAAGCAAGTGTTTGACATGTTCAGAGGATCTGAAGTTTGTGTGGCAGGTGCCGTCATGCTTCATCATCCAAATGCCAAGGTTCGGGAAAGACTACAAGATGTTCCGCCGGATTATTCCCAGCTTGGAACTGGACATCACAGACATCCTGGAAGAAGGTATGTATGGATTTCAAACATTTCATACTTTGGGAGTGAGTATAATGGACAAATGTGATATTCTGTTAGCATCCTGTGTCTCATCCTTGAGTATGCAGTGTATTATATCCAGTGCTGTCGCCCTTGACCCATTCATTACCATAGCTTCATTTAGCGCCCAGTATGAATGGCATGATGCTAAAGAAAAGTTGTCCTATCAAAGTTCTCTCATGGGAGAGAATTCTGTGATAATTTACAGATGGAAATGGTGACTTTACTTTCGGAACAAAGCTATGGTGGCAAATGGATCGAGGTTATTTATCATGATAGAATGGGGATGTATTACCGTGGATAATCGAGGATTCTAGTCTTTGATATATAGTGAAAGTTTCTTGTGTATCAAGTGTTGTGAGTTGCCTCCCTTGAACTATACTCACAGCATCTTGATAAATAATGATGTAGCAGAAGTGCAATTAATCAGTGTGCCAGGTTTGGCAAGAAATGGATATCTGAAAAGACTGGAGTGTGTGGACAAAATATTTGATTGTCAAAATATGATTGATATCTTACATTTTAGCAAAATGCATAATAGAGTGTGAAAGTGATAGTCCCCTACCATTACATTGTATTATGACCCAGGGGCCCAGTCCCAAGTTGCAGGAGCCCGGAGGGTTAATGTGTTTTCAAGTTGGTCCCTGTATTTCTCAGCAATGAGTCTGTGTTGCAGGAACCCGGAGGGTTGATGTGTTTGCAAGTTGGTCCCTGTATTTCTCAGCTATGAGTCTGTGTTGCAGGAGCCCGGAGGGTTGATGTGTTTGCAAGTTGGTCCCTGTATTTCTCAGCAATGAGTCTGTGTTGCAGGAGCCCGGAGGGTTGATGTGTTTGCAAGTTGGTCCCTGAATTTCTCAGCAATGAGTCTGTGTTGCAGGAGCCCGGAGAGTTGATGTGTTTGCAAGTTGGTCCCTGTATTTCTCAGCAATGAGTCTGTGTTGCAGGAGCCCGGAGGGTTGATGTGTTTGCAAGTTGGTCCCTGTATTTCTCAGCAATGAGTCTGTGTTGCAGATGCCGGGAAGGTTGATGTGTTTGCAAGTTGGTCCCTGTATTTCTCAGCAATGAGTCTGTGTTGCAGGAGCCCGGAGGGTTGATGTGGTTGCAAGTTGGTCCCTGTATTTCTCAGCAATGAGTCTGTGTTGCAGATGCCGGAAGGGTTGATGTGTTTGCAAGTTGGTCCCTGTATTTCTCAGCAACGAGTCTGTGTTGCAGGAGCCCGGAGGGTTGATGTGTTTGCAAGTTGGTCCCTGTATTTCTCAGCAATGAGTCTGTGTTGCAGGAACCCGCTGGGTTGATGTGTTTGCAAGTTGGTCCCTGTATTTCTCAGCAATGAGTCTGTGTTGCAGGAGCCCGGAGGGTTGATGTGTTTGCAAGTTGGTCCCTGTATTTCTCAGCAATGAGTCTGTGTTGCAGATGCCCGGAGGGTTGATGTGTTTGCAAGTTGGTCCCTGTATTTCTCAGCAATGAGTCTGTGTTGCAGATGCCGGGAGGGTTGATGTGTTTGCAAGTTGGTCCCTGTATTTCTCAGCAATGAGTCTGTGTTGCAGATGCCGGGACGGTTGATGTGTTTGCAAGTTGGTCCCTGTATTTCTCAGCAATGAGTCTGTGTTGCAGGAGCCCGGTGGGTTGATGTGTTTGCAAGTTGGTCCCTGTATTTCTCAGCAATGAGTCTGTGTTGCAGGGAACCCGGTGGGTTGATGTGTTTGCGAGTTGGTCCCTGTATTTCTCAGCAATGAGTCTGTGTTGCAGATGCCGGGAGGGTTGATGTGTTTGCAAGTTGGTCCCTGTATTTCTCAGCAATGAGTCTGTGTTGCAGGAGCCCGGAGGGTTGATGTGTTTGCAAGTTGGTCCCTGTATTTCTCAGCAATGAGTCTGTGTTGCAGGAGCCCGGAGGGTTGATGTGTTTGCAAGTTGGTCCCTGTATTTCTCAGCAATGAGTCTGTGTTGCAGGAGCCCGGAGGGTTGATGTGTTTGCAAGTTGGTCCCTGTATTTTTCAGCAATGAGTGTGTTGCAGATGCCGGGAGGGTTGATGTGTTTGCAAGTTGGTCCCTGTATTTCTCAGCAATGAGTCTGTGTTGCAGGAACCTGGAGGGTTGATGTGTTTGCAAGTTGGTCCCTGTATTTCTCAGCAATGAGTCTGTGTTGCAGGAGCCCGGAGGGTTGATGTGTTTGCAAGTTGGTCCCTGTATTTCTCAGCAATGAGTCTGTGTTGCAGGAGCCCAGAGGGTTGATGTGTTTGCAAGTTGGTCCCTGTATTTCTCAGCAATGAGTCTGTGTTGCAGATGCCGGGAGGGTTGATGTGTTTGCAAGTTGGTCCCTGTATTTCTCAGCAATGAGTCTGTGTTGCAGATGCCGGGACGGTTGATGTGTTTGCAAGTTGGTCCCTGTATTTCTCAGCAATGAGTCTGTGTTGCAGGAGCCCGGTGGGTTGATGTGTTTGCAAGTTGGTCCCTGTATTTCTCAGCAATGAGTCTGTGTTGCAGGGAACCCGGTGGGTTGATGTGTTTGCAAGTTGGTCCCTGTATTTCTCAGCAATGAGTCTGTGTTGCAGGAACCTGGAGGGTTGATGTGTTTGCAAGTTGGTCCCTGTATTTCTCAGCAATGAGTCTGTGTTGCAGGAGCCCGGAGGGTTGATGTGTTTGCAAGTTGGTCCCTGTATTTCTCAGCAATGAGTCTGTGTTGCAGGAGCCCAGAGGGTTGATGTGTTTGCAAGTTGGTCCCTGTATTTCTCAGCAATGAGTCTGTGTTGCAGATGCCGGGAGGGTTGATGTGTTTGCAAGTTGGTCCCTGTATTTCTCAGCAATGAGTCTGTGTTGCAGATGCCCGGAGGGTTGATGTGTTTGCAAGTTGGTCCCTGTATTTCTCAGCAATGAGTCTGTGTTGCAGGAGCCCGGAGGGTTGATGTGTTTGCAAGTTGGTCCCTGTATTTCTCAGCAATGAGTCTGTGTTGCAGATGCCGGGAGGGTTGATGTGTTTGCAAGTTGGTCCCTGTATTTCTCAGCAATGAGTCTGTGTTGCAGGAGCCCGGAGGGTTGATGTGTTTGCGAGTTGGTCCCTGTATTTCTCAGCAATGAGTCTGTGTTGCAGATGCCGGGACGGTTGATGTGTTTGCAAGTTGGTCCCTGTATTTCTCAGCAATGAGTCTGTGTTGCAGGAGCCCGGAGGGTTGATGTGTTTGCAAGTTGGTCCCTGTATTTCTCAGCAATGAGTCTGTGTTGCAGGAGCCCGGAGGGTTGATGTGTTTGCAAGTTGGTCCCTGTATTTCTCAGCAATGAGTGTGTTGCAGATGCCGGGAGGGTTGATGTGTTTGCAAGTTGGTCCCTGTATTTCTCAGCAATGAGTCTGTGTTGCAGGAGCCCGGAGGGTTGATGTGTTTGCAAGTTGGTCCCTGTATTTCTCAGCAATGAGTCTGTGTTGCAGGAGCCCGGTGGGTTGATGTGTTTGCAAGTTGGTCCCTGTATTTCTCAGCAATGAGTCTGTGTTGCAGGGAACCCGGTGGGTTGATGTGTTTGCAAGTTGGTCCCTGTATTTCTCAGCAATGAGTCTGTGTTGCAGGAACCTGGAGGGTTGATGTGTTTGCAAGTTGGTCCCTGTATTTCTCAGCAATGAGTCTGTGTTGCAGGAGCCCGGAGGGTTGATGTGTTTGCAAGTTGGTCCCTGTATTTCTCAGCAATGAGTCTGTTGCAGGAGCCCAGAGGGTTGATGTGTTTGCAAGTTGGTCCCTGTATTTCTCAGCAATGAGTCTGTGTTGCAGATGCCGGGAGGGTTGATGTGTTTGCAAGTTGGTCCCTGTATTTCTCAGCAATGAGTCTGTGTTGCAGATGCCCGGAGGGTTGATGTGTTTGCAAGTTGGTCCCTGTATTTCTCAGCAATGAGTCTGTGTTGCAGGAGCCCGGAGGGTTGATGTGTTTGCAAGTTGGTCCCTGTATTTCTCAGCAATGAGTCTGTGTTGCAGATGCCGGGAGGGTTGATGTGTTTGCAAGTTGGTCCCTGTATTTCTCAGCAATGAGTCTGTGTTGCAGGAGCCCGGAGGGTTGATGTGTTTGCGAGTTGGTCCCTGTATTTCTCAGCAATGAGTCTGTGTTGCAGATGCCGGGAGGGTTGATGTGTTTGCAAGTTGGTCCCTGTATTTCTCAGCAATGAGTCTGTGTTGCAGGAGCCCGGAGGGTTGATGTGTTTGCAAGTTGGTCCCTGTATTTCTCAGCAATGAGTCTGTGTTGCAGGAGCCCGGAGGGTTGATGTGTTTGCAAGTTGGTCCCTGTATTTCTCAGCAATGAGTCTGTGTTGCAGGAGCCCGGAGGGTTGATGTGTTTGCAAGTTGGTCCCTGTATTTCTCAGCAATGAGTCTGTGTTGCAGATGCCGGGAGGGTTGATGTGTTTGCAAGTTGGTCCCTGTATTTCTCAGCAATGAGTCTGTGTTGCAGGAGCCCGGAGGGTTGATGTGTTTGCAAGTTGGTCCCTGTATTTCTCAGCAATGAGTCTGTGTTGCAGGAGCCCGGAGGGTTGATGTGTTTGCAAGTTGGTCCCTGTATTTCTCAGCAATGAGTCTGTGTTGCAGGAGCCCGGAGGGTTGATGTGTTTGCAAGTTGGTCCCTGTATTTCTCAGCAATGAGTCTGTGTTGCAGGAGCCCGGAGGGTTGATGTGTTTGCGATTTGGTCCCTGTATTTCTCAGCAATGAGTCTGTGTTGCAGGAGCCCGGAGGGTTGATGTGTTTGCAAGTTGGTCCCTGTATTTCTCAGCAATGAGTCTGTGTTGCAGGAGCCCGGAGGGTTGATGTGTTTGCAAGTTGGTCCCTGTATTTCTCAGCAATGAGTCTGTGTTGCAGATGCCCGGAGGGTTGATGTGTTTGCAAGTTGGTCCCTGTATTTCTCAGCAATGAGTCTGTGTTGCAGGAGCCCGGAGGGTTGATGTGTTTGCAAGTTGGTCCCTATGTTTCTCAGCAATGAGTCTGTGTTGCAGGAGCCCGGAGGGTTGATGTGTTTGCAAGTTGGTCCCTGTATTTCTCAGCAATGAGTCTGTGTTGCAGGAGCCCGGAGGGTTGATGTGTTTGCGAGTTGGTCCCTGTATTTCTCAGCAATGAGTCTGTGTTGCAGATGCCCGGAGGGTTGATGTGTTTGCAAGTTGGTCCCTGTATTTCTCAGCAATGAGTCTGTGTTGCAGGAGCCCGGGAGTGCATTGTCTGCGGCAACCTGGCCACGCAAGAGTGTAAGGACTGCTACCAGCTACAGAAAACAATGTTGAGTGCAACAGCCTTCTGTCAAAACTGTTGTTTAAAGGTAAGTTTTTTCATCTTTCATGTTCTGTAATGTAAGGGAAATCAGGACAGATCGATTCCTTGGAAAAACTCAGCTATCTCCCTCAAATCACCAGCGAGGGATTTGTGTCTTAGTTATCTCCCTTTGCTTGTTGAAGCCTACTGGAAGATAATGCATTCAATTACAGTGAATGGTTTATGTTAAAGTAACATATATACTGCAGTGACTTACTATGTATTATAGACATTTATTTACATGATTTTTTAAATTTATGATTGCCAATATTTAGTGTAGTGGATCAGCCATACTCCGTTATGGTATGATTGATCCCTTGAACATCAGTCATACTCTGTTTATCGTAATTCTGGTTTAGAATTAGTCCCAGAAAAATGATTCTGGTGGTAAGAGGCAACTAACTGGGTTGTGTGGTCAGAATCAGTGACTGGTTGACAGCATGCCATTCTACCCTGACAACATGGAACATTGTTCATAGCAATCACTGGTTTGTCTAAACCGGACGCATTTATTTACAGGCCACCTTCATATTGCTGGAATATCGTTGTGAACAGTGTTAAGCAACAAGAACTACTGTTAACAGTAGGCTTATAAAAGCTTTTTCTCCTCTCCACAGAGCCATCAGCACAAGACACGAAAGGGCCACGTGCCGACCCCCATCAAGGTGTCTGAGAGTCTACAGAAGCACCTCTCCTCCTGCACTGATGTGGATCTCAGTTCCCACAGAGAGAAGATGGAGCTGTTCGCTGTTGTGTGTATACAGACCAGTCATTATGTCTCCTTCGTCAAGTGTGGCACCGGGGATGAAGCCCAATGGGTCTTCTTTGATTCAATGGCAGATAGAATGGGTAAGACTGGTTGGACTAGCTTAGATTCAATGGCAGATAGAATGGGTAAGACTGGTTGGACAAGCTTAGATTCAATGGCAGATAGAATGGGTAAGACGGGTTGGACCAGCTTAGATTCAATGGCAGATAGAATGGGTAAGACGGGTTGGACCAGCTTAGATTCAATGGCAGATAGAATGGGTAAGACGGGTTGGACCAGCTTAGATTCAATGGCAGATAGAATGAGTAAGACTGGTTGAACTAGCTTAGATTCAATGGCAGATAGAATGGGTAAGACTGGTTGGACCAGCTTAGATTCAATGGCAGATAGAATGGGTGACTGGTTGGACCAGCTTAGATTCAATGGCAGATAGAATGGGTAAGACTGGTTGGACCAGCTTAGATTCAATGGCAGATAGAATGGGTAAGACGGGTTGGACCAGCTTAGATTCAATGGCAGATAGAATGGGTAAGACTGGTTGGACCAGCTTAGATTCAATGGCAGATAGAATGGGTAAGACTGGTTGAACTAGCTTAGATTCAATGGCAGATAGAATGGGTAAGACTGGTTGGACCAGCTTAGATTCAATGGCAGATAGAATGCGTAAGACTGGTTGGACAAGCTTAGATTCAATGGCAGATAGAATGAGTAAGACGGGTTGGACAAGCTTAGATTCAATGGCAGATAGAATGAGTAAGACTGGTTGGACAAGCTTAGATTCAATGGCAGATAGAATGAGTAAGACGGGTTGGACAAGCTTAGATTCAATGGCAGATAGAATGGGTAAGACTGGTTGGACAAGCTTAGATTCAATGGCAGATAGAATGAGTAAGACGGGTTGGACCAGCTTAGATTCAATGGCAGATAGAATGAGTAAGACAGGTTGGACCAGCTTAGATTCAATGGCAGATAGAATGGGTAAGACTGGTTGGACAAGCTAAGATTCAATGGCAGATAGAATGGGTAAGACTGGTTGGACCAGCTTAGATTCAATGGCAGATAGAATGGGTAAGACGGGTTGGACCAGCTTAGATTCAATGGCAGATAGAATGGGTAAGACTGGTTGGACAAGCTTAGATTCAATGGCAGATAGAATGAGTAAGACTGGTTGGACCAGCTTAGATTCAATGGCAGATAGAATGGGTAAGACGGGTTGGACCAGCTTAGATTCAATGGCAGATAGAATGGGTAAGACTGGTTGGACCAGCTTAGATTCAATGGCAGATAGAATGGGTAAGACTGGTTGGACCAGCTTAGATTCAATGGCAGATAGAATGGGTAAGACTGGTTGGACAAGCTTAGATTCAATGGCAGATAGAATGAGTAAGACGGGTTGGACAAGCTTAGATTCAATGGCAGATAGAATGAGTAAGACGGGTTGGACAAGCTTAGATTCAATGGCAGATAGAATGAGTAAGACGGGTTGGACAAGCTTAGATTCAATGGCAGATAGAATGGGTAAGACTGGTTGGACCAGCTTAGATTCAATGGCAGATAGAATGAGTAAGACGGGTTGGACCAGCTTAGATTCAATGGCAGATAGAATGAGTAAGACAGGTTGGACCAGCTTAGATTCAATGGCAGATAGAATGGGTAAGACTGGTTGGACAAGCTTAGATTCAATGGCAGATAGAATGAGTAAGACGGGTTGGACCAGCTTAGATTCAATGGCAGATAGAATGGGTAAGACGGGTTGGACAAGCTTAGATTCAATGGCAGATAGAATGAGTAAGACTGGTTGGACCAGCTTAGATTCAATGGCAGATAGAATGAGTAAGACGGGTTGGACAAGCTTAGATTCAATGGCAGATAGAATGGGTAAGACTGGTTGGACCAGCTTAGATTCAGTGGCAGATAGAATGGGTAAGACTGGTTGGACCAGAGTTTAATAGTGGCTAGGGTGTAAGGAGTGAGCAAGTCTGGTTTTATGAATATATTGCAGGCTAACCAAGCAGAATGATTACCTGATAAAATATTAGGCTGCACCCACTAATGGACTACTGTTTCCTGATTGGCTGATAATAGAATGGGCAGGGCATGTGTTGCATTATTGTGTGATTAATGATGTCACTAATTTTGAATTGTTGTCTTCATTTTTGTATGTTATTGATTAAATAAGCTGTCTGTGAAGGTATTGTTGACATATATTTATGAGAATTGACTTCAGGATTATTTATGTTTATGGAAGAATAAACGTAATGTCTGGTGTGCACCTGGTGTAAATGCATGTATTTCAAATGACACTTATTTGCTGTTATTTCAGCAATATTAAGCACTCTTGGCATAAGAGGCTGAGGTGGGTGGTCAGGCTCTGTGCCTAGCATGGGACATTGTTCTTACAGTCACGGGTTTGGCAGGCCCAGATTCATATTATTTACATGTTGCTGGGATATTGTTGTATATTGCTGAGTGCAGGGTAAAACAATAAACAAATAACTCTTTCAGGTGAACAAAAAGGATACAACATCCCAGAGGTGAAGGTCGTCCCTGAATTGTCAGGATGGCTGTCGGAAGGGAACTGGGATAAGATCCATAAGATTGACGATGACAAGCAGCTTCCCGAGTCCATTCGTCGCCTACTGTGTGATGCCTACATGTGCATGTACCAGAGCTCGGAGGTCGCCATGTTCAAATGATGGATGCACTTGGTTATCTGGAAATTAACCTACCATGTCCAAATGGGCCCTTGGCAACCATTTTGTGTCACTGGCATTCATGACCGTGTGATTGGCCATGAGATGCCCCAACAGGATGGAGTGATGTGGGGATGGCTAGATGAAGAATAACAATTCATATGCTACACATGCATGAAACGTTTTTTCACTGAAAAGCAAACCAGTTAGTTGTTATCTCTGTGTGAACCGTGCTGTACAGGAGGCTATAAACACATTCTTTGTTGTGATATGATGCCTGCATTGATAGTAACAGCATGAAGCAGTACGTGAAACTTGGCGACACTTAATTGTCATGTTGAGGGTCTGTACTGTATCAAATCAGTACTCATTAATGAATCCATCTATGATTTCTACAAGATCTATTTCCTACAAGATACAGATATGTGTATGGTACCCAGGGCTTTTCCAGGTGAGGATATGGGTCCCCAGCAACGTATGCTTGTTGTAAGAGGCGACAAAATGGATCAGGTGGTCTGGCTCAGTGACTTGGTGGATGCATGTCATTGTATCCCAATTGTGTAGATCAATGGTCCGGACATGATTATTTACAGACCGCCGTCATATAGCTGCAATATTGCTGAGCGCGGCGTTAAATAACATGTGGTGCTGCATCGTTACATGACCGCATGACCTGATACTGACATCACAGCATGTGCCGGTTGTATCACACTGTTACTTCATAACAGCCATAGTTAGAGCTTGTGAGAAGTTAATAATAGTTACACTCAATAGATTTTTTGTTATTATATAGTGCCACGCTGTGTATTTCTAGCACTGGATATGTATATAACTTGATTTGCTGTTGATGTATATGTATATATATCGTGTATGTGTGTCTAACAGTGTACGTATATTGTCTAAATATTGCTTGCAGTGTAGGGAGGCTTGTTTCAAAGCTCAAGTACAAGTACCAGTAAAATATATGGTTGAGATGGTTTGGTGTTGCTTCGAGTGAACGTATTGGATACTTCACAATGTTTACAGGAGATACATACAACTGACTTGTTTGGCCTGATGTGACGATGGTGACGACATACAGTTCTTGCAGTGATCTTGTTCATTTAGTGATCTTGTTCTATATACCTATGTTGTTAAACCTGCAACAGATATCCGTGAGTGTATAATTGTTTGCATCAAATTGAGTGCTATATTTCATTTTCCTATGTTAACAATTACTGTATATAGGTTGTGTAGAAAGTGAAAGTACAGCTATTTTAAGAGTGAGTGAGTATGGTTTTGCGCCACTTTTAGCAATATTCCAGCAAAATCACTGCGGGGACATCAGAAATGGGCGTCACACATTGCACTCATGTTGGGAATCGAACCTGGGCTTTAACCACAAGGCTACCCCACCTCCCCAGTTTTGTTAAGACATGAAACAGGTTAATGAAAGGTTAAGGAGCAAGTAACGATGCCGGTACAGGCCACCCGAGCATTGCTGAATGTGGTGAAAAAGTATCGTGATGGCATGAGGTATGGTGGTGGGATACAGGAGGTCAGAATCAGCACCTGTATATATATACCGCACACAACAGGAGTCATTGTGGCCACCCGATCACCATTTGAAACTGGAAGAACATTGTAGTCTTGTAGTCCCCTACATGAGTTATCACCAAACCGAAATTCTCTGCATCTTGACAGTAGTGGCATTTGAAAATGGCACTTTTTGTCTCCAATCTAACAGAGTGTTTGATTGTCAGTTTTGAATTTTTAGGTTGTAAAGTTTACTGTTGAATATTTCTCAACTCTCCACATGTTTCCTTGTGGCCAGCTTAGTGTGGTAATGTATAATGTTGTATGTGCGTATGTATTGTGTCGAATGTTGAGGAGGAGTTTGACATAGTGCCAAGCAGAGTCCAGCCCTCCCAGCCAGGTGTATGTCTGCTGCTTTGTTCACTCAACCCCTGGAGAAGACCATGTATAGCCTTCAGCAGTGAGAATACAATCACATGGCTTTCATGATTGTCCAGTCATTTCTCAACCATGGATACTGAAGGAACTTCTTGGCCGAGGGAATAACCATCCATCTACTTTGATATGGAAAATCTGTCTCAGGTTAATGACTGGGGTACTACCTGAACCAATGAACCAGCACTTGCAGCATTCAGAAAAGAGGGACTGTTAGTCTGTGAGTGCTCAATACATTATTCCATATATTATCCATTTTGAGAAATAAAATGAAGATTAACATTAAATGTTTGGCCTACAAGGAAATTTACCTTTCAACCTCTTCTTTTAATAGGTGTTACATAATCAGTAGGTGATATCTTGCACAATGGATATGCTGTTCTGAACATCAAGTAGACTGAATCCCTTATAAACTTTGAGAATCGCTCAAATGCACATGTGCAAAAATGTGCAGGCATTAAACCCCCAACAACTACATGAGAGTTTGTTAAACAACTTTTTCTACACTTCGAGACAGTGTCTGAAATTATGGTTATTAGTTGGTATGGACAAATCAATAACTTTCATGCCTTTTAAGACAAATTCTTGCTTTCAGATTTAAATCTATTTTGCATTTCATAGGGACGATTTTGCAGCAAACAGACTGTAGTTTCGGTGAAGAAAGTTCTTTTGATCCAGAAATGTGTGCATGGGTTTTTGTAGCTGAATCAGCAGTCACATTGTTGGACTGTTCACAATGGCAGTGTTACATGTCCATGTGGTTTACATGCTGTGCTGTTCTGAGGTCAACTATTTTAAGTGATTGAAAGGTTATGCATAATCTTCCCATGTGGTTGGTATGGAGCAAGAAGCAGAACCCACATGGAGGCTCCAGACCGTCTCATAATTCAAGTTGAACAAGGAAAAGCAATTACATCATGGAAAGAACCTCTACCCAGGGTTGGTGAAGACCAATGAATAGTTGTAAGGCCTTGTCAGACATCGGTGTACAGATACTTTGAGAGTGCTGAGGAACATCCCTTGCGACAGTAATGTACGTAAGATGTAAAGGGATCGGGTGGTCAGGCTCGCTGACTTGGTTGATGCATGTCATCGTATCCCAATTGTGTGGATAGGTGCTCATGATGTAAATCACTGGATTGTCTGGTCCAGATTTGATTATTTAAAGACTGCCGTCATATAGCTGGAATATTGCCTAGTGTGGCGTTAAACAACAAAGTAACACAAAACAATGAAACCTTGTTAATATCCTTGGTTCCATTCTCCGTAACATAAGCCAGTTAAACAAATGTTATTTGTATGTAAAGTGGGGTTTTGTTTTCCTGACTAATGTGGTTGAGACTAGCAGGGTTACAGTGTAGAACTTTGACAGAACCTGGAGCTCCCTTCAAGCGGTCAACCTAAGGGGGATTCCATTGTTGGAACTAGTCACCTGCAACCTGTGCTTGTCAATATAGGCATCCATGTGGATAGTGCTCTGACTCGATGACTGTGTGGATTGTTGCTCATAATATCGGTCACTGGTTTGTCTGGTCCAGGCTACTGTCATAAAGATGGAATATTGCCGAGTGTGGCGTAAAGCAGCAAAGAAACAAATTCAAGTGTTTAACAGTTCAGCTTGCTCCATGGGTAGTGTATGCTGAGTACATCAAATGTGTTGACATCAACAGGAGAGGTGAGGTGAAATGGGGTTTAACGTCGCGTCCTCGTTGCACTTATATAGTGCCGTGTATGTGTGTGTGTGTCTGCTTGTACTAGGCCGGACTGATGCCGATTTATAGTGCTAGCTCACTGAGATACCATGCTGCAGTTTAACATGAACACCCCACTCAGACACAGTATACTGACTCCGAGCCAACCAGTCCTTGTTTTAGCCGCTTAATGCTGAGCGCCAGACAGGGTAACAACAAGTACCATCTTTTAACGTCTTTTGGTATGACATGGTCGGGGATCGAACCTCGGACCTTCCTCTCTCTGGGCCGACGCTCTACCATTAGACCACGGAGGCGGTCTGACATAAACAGAACCATGACAACTAGTTTATTTGTTAGGTCAGGCATGTCTTTGTGTGATACAGAGTCTATAATGGAATTGTGAAAAATTAATGTTCCTGTTACCTTGAATAGTGAGCGGAAATGTCAGAGAGTTCACACTGTGCTCACACAAAAAAGGACAAGTAATCGCTGTGGTCACAAGTTACCCTGAGAACAACAGGAGACAAAATGCTGTATCCAAAAAACAGAATATGAAAAAGATTCACAAGACTTCAAATGTCTATGTGACCTGTGAAATGTGATGTTGCATAAACAAGACTAACAAGATATAAACATCGGGTTCTGAAGTAAAGGCTTGGTGTATCTGTACTGGCCTTTGTCTGACAGAAGTGTGGAGAATGTTTGATCCATTGGTTGAGTCTTAGATGTAGCTGCCTTGGCACGAGGAAACAGTTGTCATGAGGGGAGTACTTTACTTGTCTGGCTACCATTTGTTTTTGGTCAAACATGTCACATTGCTCCTGTGACAGGTTGAATTCAAGGATCATTTACTACATGCAAGAGATGTGCCATCCTTCAAATTGGGTTTAAAGACAATTGATTACATTGAGTAGAAATGTTTGTCCAGATGTGGAATGGCAATGACATGAGCGTGTAAATTCCATCAGAATGTTATTAGCAAACAAATATTCAAATGTGTATTATTAGTGATATTATTTGCTTATTTATTTGTCACTGCAGTGAAAAACTTTGTAAAAATATGATAAAAGTTCCATGATTACTACTAGAGTGTTCCGTTTTTTGTGTCAACTACAGTAAGCCACTGTTGTGTCATAGTTGAAGGGACCCATGTAAATAATTCGAGTTATCGAGGTTCGACACAACAAAAAATGGTGAATAAAGAAGGAATACACAGGGACCAAGTTTTACTTCGAGATAACCATAAGTCCAAAACATAAAAGTTTGACACAACTGTGTTTGACTGTATTATGTACATGATAATTGGCAAGACACAGCATTTAGAACAGAAGCAGCATCAAAGGATTGAGAAACCTGATGTCGGTCAGCTCCCTCGCAGTACCGATCGTCAGGTTGTATTTGTTTGTTGGAAGAATCTAAATGTGATTCATGTGAATCTAAATTGGCTGGTTGCAATGGGTCAAGACTTTATTTTGCTATAGATTAGAAGTCACAGCAGAGAGAAAACAATTCAAATTGTTGTCACTCATTAATAAATTTCCATGCCTGATAGGGAGCAAATAAAGAGAACCCGTTTTCTGCATTTGTACCACATTGGAGCCGAGTGTCAGCTGTTAGTCACCACTGTCGTTTGATGACCTCAAACTTATATCATTTCTCCCATGCAAAACATGTTAATTGGTATGATGAATATGCCAGAGACAGCACAATTCCAGCAATATCACAGCTGCCTGCAAAATCGTCATCTCTTGGCCAGAACCAACAGTAGCTGTGAGTGACATAACCACTGTTGAAGTATGATGACATACAAACCACGTTCCCTAGGCTGACCATCCAAATCTGAATATTCAGGGTAATAATAAATCAACTAATCTTTTCAAGCAAAATGAACTTTTATTATGATTTGATTAACTTATGATATCAACCATTGAAACCATGGATTTAAAACAGAAGAGCGTGAAACTAAATACCAGTACATACTACTGTGCTGAAGTCACTAGAAATCAAGCCTCAATTATATATACTATCAGGGTGCTTTAAATCAAATATACAGAACATATAGCACCTAAATATTGCAATATCGGCATATGCCAAAGGCAAATACAAACAACATGAAAATAAAACAAGCTAAAATTGTTCAGTTATAAATACAACACGGCCCTATATGCATTGGACCACAGTGGTAGGAATGTTATGAAAGGTACAAAGGAAAGGAATGGCTTCTTACAGCAAAAATAACCAGCAAATCATTTCATCACTATTTCCATCAATTACTTTCCACATAGTCAACTGTAAATGTTTTGAGATGTGAGAAAACAAACATTGTAAGCAAAGTCATCCGAGGTGATGGAATGTACAGATAGCACAGGGTAAAGTGTTATTTCCAAAATATCTGCGTCATGTACAATAATTGTGGTTTTAACAATGTCTTTGTCATGAAAATGAGTCGATAGTTTACAACAAAACTCCCCCACACATTTTATGGGAAGGTAAAACTTTTAGAATAACAAAAATATGGAAATCATTGTCTGGCTAACAATTTTCAAGACAGTTTGAGATGTGTTGTTCTCATACTAGGCCAATAATCCCCAGCATCTTACTAAGACAGTCAGCATGACTTACAACATCAATATTTGGAAACAGTTATTTTCCCCACACAACAGGGATCATAAGTAAACTTAACAATTATTTTGGCAGACATATTGTGTGAAAGATGAAGTACATGTGCTGTCTGACAATATACCGTAGCATTTGTAAAAATATGGGGCATCATCACCATGTTGACATTAAGGACTTTGTTGAATTTCAATTTGGATGGAACTCTTAAGCTGAATTTCAAACAGCTTCACTCCTGTATGCTGAACGAGAACTACATAGGATACAGGTTTTGTGCACTTCCATGACATTGTAACATACATCTAAAAGGGGATTTGGTCAGCCTGGAATGGAATTTGTCTGGCTTTAAAAGGATGACAACCAATCAGATAAGGCACTTGTCGTGAATAAAACAGTACTAACAATTGGTGGAAGTTAACAAACCATACTCTATTTCAGCACTTTGGAATGTACATATCATTATAGGAAGGCACATGATATTCATAATAAATTTAGTACAAAATATATACTCCTTGTTGCAATCTGCATAAATGTTCATTAAAAAAAATAACGGTTATCTGCTACTAGCTTTGTTCATCTCAAGGCAACAAGTTAATCATTAATCAGAGTAGAGGATAAATATCAACATGTATATAACCACATCTATATTCTGCATAGGTGCTTTCTGTGCATACGCTCAGCAACGTGAGCAGCTACTTTGGCAACAATAGAACTTCAGAGACAGCTTCTTTCTCTGGCATAAAGTAACAAGAGAAAGAATTTATCTCATGATTAAATGGACATTTCATTGCTTGGGTCTACAAAATTAATTTTTGCACTATCAAGTGTCATTTGAATTTCATCATGTGCTTGTGCTAAAATTCAGTTCAATATCCTGGTTACTGAATTTCATTGAACACATTCGGAATCAATTCTGCAGAGAATTTGTTTTTACATACTAGTTTCAAACTGCTTTGTGACCTCAATGGTAATATCTAATTATAATCAATTCTTAAATTCCAATTGTCATCACATTTAAATTTCCACCTTGTTCATGAAACTTGGAAATGATGCTGTACAGTTCTTGGTCTGTATACACAACATATTATCTCTCAAGTCAAAATTAACTACTGATGCAATGTACTTAACTAGTTGTGCCCACAATAGTATCTATACGGAAGACATTGTGCAATTTTCAATATTGGAATGTACATGAGATGGGAGAAAACATCTGAGGTACAGGATATGATTTCAAGGAACAGAGTAGACAACAGCAGTACAACAATGAAAACTAATGGCTCTAAGAAATCTACCTGATAAAATAAGTGGATGAACTAACAAAAGTTTGATCAAAAGCTTTACTAGACGATTTGTTCAACAGTAAATTTGTTATGCATAATAGGATTTCTATCTCCATAAATATACAAAATGATTTCCAATGTACTTCATTGCACGTAAGTGGCAGTATTTTGTCAGGAATCAAGAGCAAACAATGAAACATCAATGGTACTAATTTGATACACGTTACTTCGTTCAACCATCACAGTAAATCCACCAGCACCGATCTGTAGACTACCAAAATATCTTATCAAAATAATGTCCCTTTATGTTTTAAAGTATTTACAAATAATGAATGGAAACTATCCATAAAATGCATATATATATTTCCCACTTAATTGACTGGGCAGTCCCGTCAGCAATACAAAGGTGCATAGTCAATGAAATTTGTCCCATTATGTCAAACCCTCAAATATATAAACTACAAGGCAACTGTGAAAAAAATAAAATTTCTGCCAGGCAATAAAATTGTTCTGACATCAGATTTGTTCATCCAATTTCAATGTTGTATAATCTGTGTTCGTTGTACTGCTAAAAAACAATTTCAGCATATCAGAGTTTCTTAATACTTTCCTGCATTTCTTTACATTGGAAGAATAGTGTTCTGCATGATGATAATCTATTTACATATCCTTGAAAGTATTCACAATAAAATGCATTCTTCCTGGGAATTAATAAACAACCAATATATGAAGCATTAATTTGTCCACTCAATTTGGCTCGGTTGAGCATACCAGTAAAATCTGACATATAAATCTATCATAAAATATACCATAATATCTTCCATCTATCAAACCTTTGCTGATGATAGATATCCAATCCATGGCCAACACATGGTCAGAGTTTACTGGTAAGCATATAAAACAGTATTATGGCAAATGTGTTCATATATTGATACATGTCACCATTGTTCATGATGGTCACCAGTCTTCATCACACTCATCTGGACTGTGATTCACAGCAATAATATACGTCTTTCCACCAAGGAAAGAATCCCCCTCCAGACACAGTGTGATTGTTCTGTATGTTCTTCCTCCAAACAAACTAGTTACACATGGCAGAGATTGTTTTCATAGTCACTGAATACAATCCCTTTATACTTGACTCTGGCTTCACAACTGGAAGACTTGCAAGTCCTTCTACAGCACTTTCAAATGTCAACTACGGAATGTCAACTTCACGGACTCACACAACTGTGTCACCTCTCACTCTTAATTGCACTTGTAGCTCAAGGTCAGTCACTGTCTTTGCATAATATTCACATAAAACATTCATTCATCGCGACATATAAATTCAGTCTTTCAACATCAGCATCCTTTGATTCACATATCTTGAATGATTGACTCACAGCACTGGATACACTGATTAAATGTCACCTCAGCAAGTTGCACTTCTGGTATGAAATTTAAATACTCAAAAGATTCATAAAAATATAAAGTCAGCAGCTTAGTAAAAGATTTCTGGAAACTATTTCCTAGTCTATTCATGGTATTTGTCTACGGGTAAAGGCTCAGTACTGATGACCAATCAGATGCTGGCGTTCATGCTGCATCATGAGGCTTTTGTTTTCGAACTCACGTTCACAATACTGACACACATAGACCTTGGTCCTGGAACTGGTGGACGTCAAGTTAGCCCTAGCATCAGCACTGTCTTCTGCCGAGTCCTTCTGGGTCTTCTGCTCCTCCTCCACAGTGGAGTCTGGGGTGCTGGTCTCTGTCGGGGACTTGGCCACTTCTTTCACTGCTGGGGCTTCAGTCAGGCTGTTATTGTTCTTCTCCAGTTGATGTTTAGTGATGATAGACTTAATCACCTCCTTATCAACAGCAGTACCCGGGAAGTGGACCTCGATGTGGTCCTGAAGCTCTTCTTCAGCTGAGCAGCTGAAGTCACAATAGCAACAAGGGAGGCAGTTGGGTGTGTTGTGCTGGTTGTCATGGCGATCCAGTTCCTCCTTGGAGGTTGTGCTGAAAGGGCATCGGTCACATTTAAGCTCCATCTCCTCACTGTCCTCGCTGAGGTTAGTGTCATCTGGGGAACTGAAGTACAGCTGGGGATTCACAACATCAGGACTTTGTGGCTCATACAAGCTTCCGTGGTCACCATTCTTAGCTGGAGACATCAAGCTTTTCGACCTTTCTTCGTGAACCTTTACATGCTGTTGCAGGTGAATGATAGTTTCGACACTGAAGTCACAGAACTGACAATTGAACTTGTTCTCAGATCCATGCATGCCTAGATGAGATTCTAAAATCTCTGTGCTTGGACTTAGGTAGGGGCACTTGGGACATTTCATCTGCCCCTGCTGATGTTCCTCAGACTCCTGCTGTTTCTTTGTGTCCTGATGAAGACGCAGATGCTGGTTCAGGAGATTCCATCGGTCAACACTGTAGGTGCATTCAGGACACATGTAGCGAGCTCGCATTCGGTGCAGCATCTTATGGTAGGCAAAGCTGTTTTTGTTGCTGGTACTGAATGGACAACTTTTGCAGTTGTACAAATTCTTCTTTTCAACAGTCTCTTTACTTTTATTATCATTTTCAACATGTTTATTGAAGCCCATGATCTGAGCTTCAAATTTTCCAGGGGCTTCAAGAGCATAGTCCCTGTTCAAAATGTTGATTTCGTCAGGACTTGGGTTGAATCCAGGTTGCTTTGTATGAACTCTTCTGTGTTGGTACAGCAGGTTTAGTCTGTCAATGCTCCAGTCACAGTAGTCACAGATGTACTTCTTCTTTATTCCATGCATCTGGAAGTGGACATTGTAGCTCTTGAGTGCATTGCTTTTGAAAGGACAGTTGGGACAGGAGTACCTCATAGGCTCACTCTCACTCTCCTCCACTGGTTCAGGCTCAGCACTTTCACTGTTCTCGAGAGTAGATGACACTTTCTCTACATGTTTCTCAGATTCCAGTCGGAGAACATCCAGATTCAGGAGAGCAGATGGTGGTGGTGCAGGATCAAAGTCTGGTTCATCAGCATGAAGTCGGCGATGCTGGGTCAGCAGGTTGAGTCTGTCCAGGCTGTATGAGCAGAAGTCACACTTGTATCTGTGTGCTGCACCATGAAGCAAACAGTGTTTGCGAAACTCTGTCCCAGAGTTGCTGCTGAAGGGACAGTCTTTACATCTGTAACTCCTGTGCTGTGACAGGATGGATAAAGCATTTTCACCCTCTTCACCAGTATTGTCACCATCAGTCTTTTCTTCCATGTCAACGTCTGCCTCTGGTTCATCCTCCTCCCCTTCAGGCTCTTCTTCAGTGACTTCTTCTTCCATTTCCATGTCATCTTCTCCCTCCATCTCCTCTCCTGCACCATCAGGTCTAGACTCGGCTTCTGCCTCGATCTCTTCTTGCAACTTCTCATATTCTTTGTTGCTTTTATCTAAAGGATCTAAAACAATGTCTTGGTAGCTCTTCTCAGCAGAGTTTTCAGGACTGTTGTTTTCAGTTTTATGGAATTTGATATGCTGCTGGAGCAGGTATGCTCGACTTGCACTGTAGTTGCAAAGAGGACACTTGTAGCGACTCTTGATAATGTGTTGTTTACGATGTTTGATGATGTTGTTCTTACAGAAGGTGTTGTATGGACATCTAGAGCACCTGTAGCGAACCCGGCCACTTAAACGGGACTTCTGTAGAACTTGCCTGGCTTGCATGGTCAGTAGCTTTGTGGCCAGCTCAGCAGCTTTGTTGGGACTGGACTTTGCAGGTAAAGGAGCTTCATCATTCACTCTCTTCAAGTTCAGCATGCTTGTGAAGTGTTTCTTTTCTGGCGTTAGACTGCCGTCCTTCTCACGGTCCTTCTCTTCATGGACAACAGCATGGCGGGTTAGGATGCCCAGATCATCCACACTGTAGTCACAGTGTTCACACTTGTACTGTCCATTGTAGGTGTGCATCAACACATGAGCACGGTAGATGTCATACAGCTTGGCCTTGAAGGGACACTTAGGGCAGCTCATCAGCATATTCTCTTCCATATTTGCTTCCATTTCTGCATCCATTTCTCCCTCCATCTCGGCATTCTCTCTCTCATCGGAGTCAATGTCTGCAGACCCCACTTCAATGTTCTTCGTGACTTCAATGAATGCTGGTTCCTTAGGGTGCACTTTGTCCATATGTTGGTAGATGAGTTTCAGATTGTCACTACAGTAGTCACAGTATTTACATTGGTACTTTCTGTTCGAACCGTGTTGGCGTACATGGTTAGCAGCATTGGCAATATTGCTGTTAACATAGGAGCACTTAGGGCATTTGTAGCTCTTCTTCCCATCCATGCTACAGATCTGGATGGGGACTCCTCTCCATGTCATCTGTTCCTTGAGGATCAGGACAGGTTTCTTGTTCTTCTGATAGTTATTTGCAAAGTTGAGTTCAGCTCTGATTTTCTCCATGGTGTGTGGATCGTCCTCTACAATAATGGGATATGTAGGGGCAGGGCCTGCTGGGAGCTGCATCTCACTTTCGGACCCCTTCCATTTGTCAGAATGAGATCCCTTCATGTGTTGATAAAGGAGGTTAAGGCGGTCAATGCTGTAATCACAGAACCAACATGTATGTTTGCAATTACTGCCATGGCGTTCCACATGGCGGAGATACGTGACAGCATTTGGTGCAGTAAAGGGGCACTTGGTGCACTGGAAGGATCTAGCTTTCTTCTGAGGGCTGGTGCTTTTCTTAGCTCTCATTAGAGTACTGGTAATGTTTTCAGCAGTCATGCCTTGTGATTTGACATGTGTGTTATGCATGTTGCTCTGTTTGCTATCATTTGGCAGTATGTGTCTTAAAGTATCAAGAAACTGTCGCTTATTCTCAGATACTAATGACTGTTTCGGCTGGTTATACTGTGGACTTGATACCAAATGTAGTGGCTTTGGTCGATGGGATAGTTGCTGTTGTTGTTGCTGTTGTTGATGCTGTTGTCTCTGCTGTGGTCTCTGAGGATTTTGATTTTGTGATGACTGATGATTTGATGAAGAATCTTGGTAGGAGGACCTAGCTGCTTCTGCCAATTCCTGTTTGCGAAGTTCTAGAGGATGTACATTCTTGGCATGCTGATACAATGTTGTGACATGGGCAAACATTGCTTCACACCACTCACAAGTAAAGCGTTTACGTGTGACTGCTGGGGCTGGCTGGATATTCCTCAAGGTGGAATGTTCATATCCCTGGCCTGATACATGGTTGGATTTGGAGGTTTGCTGTTGAGGAATGTTTCTGGAATGTATCGATGATATCGATCCTGCACTTCGTCCATTATTACCACTGATAAGTGACAAATGTGAAGAAGAAGGGGAGCATACGGATTTGGAAGACATCACTTGTTGACTATTTTGCATAGATCGTGGAATGTGTAGTTGCGGTGGTCCAATTGAATGGAAGTCTTTCTGAGCAATTGTGTTAGCCCTTTGCTGGTTGGGATGGAACATCTTCAGTGGAGGTGGAGATGGCACATCAACAGCATCTGTTGGAGTTGATCTAGCCACAGTGAATTTTGTGCGTTCTGGGAGATGATCGTCCTCTTCATCAGACTGGTCATCTTCCATAAAGAATGTCTCCCACTCGTCTGGGTTGAACTCGGTATGAGTACTGATATGGTCGAGCAGCGATTCCTTATCATTCACTGTCATGTCACAATAGAAGCATTTATAGTTAAGTTCTTTTTCATGTTCTGCTTCATGAATTTCCATGGTTTCTCTTTTGGAGCATACAAAGTCACATTTTGAGCATTGAAGCCTCTTCATTGCCTTTCTGGGATGTTTAAGGCGGGCAGCATCGATCTCTTCATGTCTCTGAACATCAGATGGACTTGGAGAGGCTTGAGCTGAAGCAGCTGCATTTTGATTGGAGTGGGTGACTCTGTGTTGGAGGAAATTTGAGAGATCATTCACCTGGAAATCGCACTGCTTACACTTGAACTTGGCAGGAGATGATGATGATGATGATGATGGTGTCCCATGGATTTTCATGTGAGTTTCCAAGATATGATGTTTAGTAGTTGCATATGGGCACTTAGTGCAGGTGAACACTTGTCTTTCTGGACGGTCAGGCTCGTCACTGTCGGTATGTCCAGAATCATCTCCGTTAAGCCCTGGAGATCTTGACACTTGGCTGGAAAAGTGATTGTAGGTTCTCATGTGTTTCTTGAGATCACACTTCCATCGGGAGCTGTAGCCGCAGGTCCCACAGGTGAAGGGTTTGTTCTCTGAATGCAGCACAGAGTGACGCTTAAGTTCAGCTGGGCTGTGACCCACAAAAGGGCATTCTAGACAGTGATACAGACCCTGGTTGATGAGGCTTCTGAATACAGGCTGTTTGGATGAATGAGAGTTATTGCCTTGTTTGACTTGATGACTAGATCCAGTATTGACAGGCTTAGGCTGGATTGGAGTGTTTCCTTGATTTGCAGATATCAGAGGTGGAGCTCCTTGTGACTGGCCTGCCATGATGGGTACAATGACTGCTCCTTGTCCCCCTGTATGATCAGTGTTGTTGGAGCTGACCAGGTAGGCAACGGGCTGGGGTGTCTGTTGCTGGAGCTTGCCTTCAGGAAGGACTGTCACATTGGGAGGAGCTATACGTTTGCTACCCATGAATCTAGAAGTATCGATCACGTCTTTTATGGTTCCTCCACCACAACGCTTAAGGTGTTTCACTACATCCCACTTCCACTTGCTCCTGTAATTACATCGAGGACAGTGATATGGCTTCTCGTCAGAGTGGTTCTTCATGTGCTGGGTGATCTCAGATGGCCACCTTGCTCTGTACTCGCACTTGGGACACTTGTAGGGCAACAGGATATCAGCACAGGATGAATTAATGTTGTTGGAGTTCATGTCGGTTTGCAGGAACTTTTGAGAATCTAAATTATTCAATCTTTGACGCACTGTTGCAGCAATAGCCTTCTGTGTTTCTTCTGTAACTGGTCGTTGAATCATACTGTCAGCATCATGCTTATATAGCAGGTAGTCCATCTCATCATCATACAGGGACTGCACATTAGTAATCTTGATGGAACTTGTGCTGTGTTCATCATCATTGGAATGGTCTGGATCAGCATAAGAGTCTAACTTACTAGGCAATGACGAGGGCCTTTCAGCATACAGTGACGGAGCTTCCAGTATATTCTTACCTATGCCCAAGTCTCTGCTGTCATCAAATACAGCAATATGGTCATCATCTCTTGGTTTGGGAATTAGTTCCGGCATATCAGAGTCGGACATCCTCCTGCGTTTGGACATTGGTTCCCCATCCCTCTGCATGTAGGCCAGATCATCTAAATCGTCAGTTGTGGAGGTGTACAGGAGGCTGTCGTCAGCAGAGGTATGGCTCTGATCATTGTTGTTGGATTTGTTGGCACCTCCTCCCAATGTTTCACGTCTCTTGTAAGGATTTGGTAGTGTATGGTGACTCTTCTCAAAATGTTTTACAAGGTCCCATTTCCATTTGTATGTTGATCCACAGACCATGCACATGAACGGACGCTCTTCTGAATGTGACACAGCATGCTTTTGGAGCTCTGCTGGCCACTTGGCTACAAAGTCACACATGTTACACTTCAACTGCTTGGAATCAGTGGAGGATAGATCCTGGGATGAGAGGTGAGTGATGGCATCCAGTGGCATCTTTAGCAAATGGTAAGTCTGCTGCAGGCCATGGGGGATTTTCTGAATAGCATCCTTGTGTTCTTGGATTTTCTCTGCATGCTCATCAAGAAAATGCTTGTTCAAATCTTCAACTCCATTGAAATGTTCTTGGCAGACGGCACATTTGAAAGCCCGCCTGTTGAGGTGCAAAGTCATGTGTGAGCTGTAGTCGACCAACGTTTTAGCTACAAAGGAACATTTGGTACATTGTAGAATGGCATTGTTATTCTTGCTAGATTCATCAGTAAGCGAGGCCTTTGGATCTTCGTCGCCCATCCATAAAGGTTCCATCTTGACTTTGAAGAAGCTGGGATCAAGTGTAGGATTGTCATCTTTCCTAACGGAGAAGTCTAAAGGTTGTTCTTGTGACCCTGAGTTAGACTGTGGCCTCTTGGCACCCTCAACCTCTTCCTTTTGTCTCTGAATATGAGCAGACACATAATCTTGTATCGAGGTAGCAGTTGGTGGTGTGTAGGCTGAGGGGGTGGTGTTGTTCACAAAAGGACCAATGAATTTTGGGAAGACAACTGGCTGTGCCGAGGTGGTTTCAGTATAATCTGATGTTATTGGCGAGGGACCATTCATCAATGAACCCATGCTGACAGGGGTTTCCGCTCGAACTAGGCTTGGTGACTGGGACACCGAGGGAGACTTGGCACTTGATGGTTGTTGCATGCTTGCTAGGACACTGTTGCTGTAGATACGCCTCTTGCCGTACATTGTGTGATTGCCTGAGTTTACAAGATACATCAAACCTGGTGGCTTCTTGCTGCCATCAGGGACCTCTCCTCCATGCTTTTCTTTCCAGTGTTTGTTGAGGGACTTGCGCCACTTGTACACATTCCCACAGCTAGAGCAGGCATACTTTATGCCAGTGTCATCCACAACCTCAAAGTATTTGGCTGGGTCCACCTCTTGGCGAGTTTTCTTCTTTTTCTCTGGGATGAAAGGCACTTCAATTACAGGCTGTGGAATGACAGTGACAACAGGGTCATCTTCTTCTTCATCTATTTCATCGTCGTCTTCCTCACCAATCATTGACATGTCTTCTTCTTGGCTATGATTCAGAAGGGAGTTATTTGGAGTCTCCTCAAAAGTGTTGTTGGGCAGCAACATGCCTTCCTGCCCCGAGAAGTGAAGCTTGCGGTGCCGTGGCAACTTCTGCTTGTACTTGGTTGCATACTCACAAATGTCACATTCGTATATTGTGAAGTCGTACTTGTGGTCATCTTTCTGGTGGTGCAGGTATGTCTTGGCACTGGTGGAGGTGAACTCACACACATTACATACATATGTTCTGTTTTGGATATTTCCACATCGGGTCGGCGTTACCGAAGAAGGGTCCTGTCCATCAGTTGGATCATTTTCCTCGGCAATGATGAGCCGATCATCTTCATGTTCTGGTTCATCATACATCTCCGTAACAAATGGAACTTCTTCTCCATTAAGCTTTTCAGAGGTCATGCTGTCCATTGAGATCTCAGATTCACTTCTGGAAGTTCTTTTCTTTATGACTGCCACTTTGAGTGCAGCCTTCTTAGATGGATGACTATCTTCTCCTTCACCATGTGCTTTTGTCTGGTGTTGGAGGAACTCGATAGAGTCTGTACAGGTGAACTTGCACTGCTTGCAGATTCTCAATCTCCCTCGGCCTTTGGGTGCTGCAGCAGATATTTCTACATCATCTGCGCTGGCATCTGCTCCTGCATCGTGACCGTCCTCCATCTTGGACTAGGCTCCCCCCTCTGGTGTGGGCTTCTGGTGGCACCCTGAAACCAACAGACAGCAATTAGGTGGGTTGCACTTTAATAAAAAAATAATCACATGAATATTTCCTAGATACCACTACTTGTGATTTAATTGACCATTCAGGCAACAACAATAACAATTGATAATCTCAGGTACAAGATGTATACAGCTAATGACAGTTGCTGTTTCTCTATAAAGCTGTATATAGGGAATTTTTTTAAAAATGAAATAATTGTTCATTCAGTTTCCCAAAAAATTGATGATTATTTTGATTTATTTGTTCTTGAATCACCTCTAATTATACATCTACTTGCATCACTGGCACAAAAAGCAAGAAGTAAAGGGAGTTAACTCTTGCAGTCTTAGCATCAATCAAACAAGCTTGCAGTCAACTTTGCTTAATCTGACTTCAGACCTGTGAACCATGTTTACTCAAGGCCAAGCACTTCAAGTGGTACCACGTGAACTTATCTCCACTTGGCAGAGAAATAATACATGCCACAGTCCAAATCTGACCAGGGCCATCTTGAAGTTCGGGAACTGATACAGCGTGGACCTTGTTCCTATAAACTGATAGCATTACCTGTTCACAGACAAGCTATCACAGGGCTCAATAACTAGGCTACCAATATTGCCTACTCTGTACTCAAAACATCCAACATGGAAAATAAGTCACCATATGTCCTTCACTTTCAAACAACATGACAGTTAGAATTTAATGAGGGCTTAAACAGGTATATGTGAACAAGTTGAAAAGACATATTTGAAACAAGGGGAACATGAAATTAAATGATCTCCCATTGAGTGTAATTATGAAGGAGTCAGCAGCAACTGATGCATGTCAATTCATCAGTTCTTATATCCATGCCCTTACGTGACTCAGCACTTCGCTACAATCAATTCAAAGCAATATTTGATAAAGTTTACAATTCCGATTCATCCTGACTAAGCTTTGCATTTACTGCTAAAGCAGTTGTATCCTTGTTTCAATTTCCCGATAAGGTTTCAGGTTTCTGACTCGTCTGACTTTGCCGAGGAAATTTTAGTGCTGAATAAGCCTGAAGCTCTAATTTATTATACTGCCACCTCTTTCCTCAGTCTTATCTGTGCCGATCACAATCCACAAATAAATGTGTCATATTTTTCCTCAGAAAGCCTTCCTATCCTCTGAACTCTGAAACTGTCCATGAATCAGCAGTGTTCTCGTTTACCATACCCACTCATACACTGCACCCATGACCATGACCTACCCAGGCCATAACTCTTTAAAAACATGCAACACTGAAACATGTATGAATGTTGAACAATAGCACCTACAGGCATGTGGAACCATAGTACTTACAACATACTCAAATACTCATTTCTGTAAAGAAACTATTTTTGTGAAAATAAATGAAAATGTACATATTGTTAATGCCATGAAGGTCCTTGTGTCTAGAGATGGTGAAGAAAAGGACTTAAAAATTGCAGTATGCTATAGACTAGAACACAAATGAGAAACTATTTCAAAAATGCTTTCCAGCATAACGATGTGACAGACATATATTTCTATTTGCTTTGAAACAACCTTTCAAAAGTCTTTGAATTTTGTCAAAGTATTATCCAATTATTTGTTCTGCATAACTTGTGTTGGTCATGTGGAATAACGTTTATTTTCCTGTATTTCACACATCGATGCTGTGAATAAGGAAGCAGGTCATGTCAGTGGAGGACTCTGGCATGTACGTCAAGTACCACCTAGTGAGTCTTGTCCACACCAATACCGGGAAACTCACAGCTTGTCTTTGGGAAAGATGTTCAAAGGATAAAACATTTTTAACAGAGCCAGTGAGAAAGTCTTCCTTGTTAAAACCAGGAAAAGATACTGGAAACTGAGAATATGTAACTCATCTTGTTCTCCATGCTGCTTTCATAGGCAGGGAGCAAAGTGAGGCCACATCGCACCTGAAGGTATGGGTTAAAGCCGATCATGGAGGTGAGAGGGTTAAACACTGAGGAGGCGACATCCAGGAAAACACCCATGCACATGTTGCTTACTACCAGGACACCTACACTTGAATGTTCCACCCCATTGTGCAGAATTCAGGTTAAATTTATAAGACATGCTTATGATTATATTCAAAGAGAAAAATATAGAATTTCACATTTCCAAAATAACAAAGATCAGGAAAGTTTATAAATTAATCCTGTTTGGAAAACAAACATTGGTTGAAATATTGAAGACGGTGGACTCAATGGATTTACCTGCTTTGTTCTGTCAAAGCAACATTTCGTTACAGGAGCTCATACCTTTATCAAGCATTTGTACCACGTATTGCACTGAAAGAATAAAGAAGTTGAAATCCACAACACAACTGTGTCTTCACTGATGCTACAGCTTCTATACTGCTTCAAAAACATATAGGTTGAAGTAGCAAACACATTAACATTGTCCCTCTGTAAAGTTGACAGAGACATTCTTCATGCATGTAATATACAGTCAGAGTCCCACACTTTCTTATTGATCAACTGTAAAATGGAATGAACCTGCATTAACAAACTATCTCCTGACTAGTGTACAGTGTAACTAAGTTCCATGCACACCACCAAACAACACCAGTGTAACAGATCCACCACATCTTGGAATGCAGCAACTCAAATCTCCTAAGTCCACCATGCATAGTTCTGCCTGACAACAAAAACCTTGTTCATGAGAACTACACATACATAAACTAATTATTTCTTTAAGCGTTCCTCTCCAAATCCTAGGCCCAAGACTTAAGAAAGTGACATTTCCTTAAAGTTCTACCAAAATACTTTAAGAAGTTTTAAACTTTAAGAAGCAGTACTTACATGTTTTTTGGAAATGTCAGAGCCAGGTATTGTTCGCCAAGCTTAACGTATGGCAGAGACAGGCACCTGTTCTATGCCCCACACAGGGAATCAGTCTGTCGCCTTAATCCTCTAGGACATGACAGAATTCAAAGTCTTTAAAGTCTATATATAAACCCTGAAGCATCCTCTTTGTAGTGGAGACATATATAGCATTCCCTCCTTATACCATGTCACCGGCCATCAAAACACTTTCATTATAGCACTGCCCTGGAGAGGTGGGTAAATTCACTTCCTTGTATTGCCATCCCATCTGAGTCTGAGCACTGTGAATGTCGCACTTATTTCTTATTCCATGTCCTCTATATAACCCCCAACTTCGGGTCCTCATTATAAGGCACAATATCAGGAAGAGTGACACTGTCCACAAACTAAACAAATATTAACAAGCACAGTCACCTTAGTTAGTAGTAGTAGTATACAAACAATAGGTACCATAAACATGATTAAGATTCAGTTTGGCACCTGGGGAATTAAGGCTAGGATTCCAGGTAAGGCAATAAAGGTAAAACAATAGAAAGCAAAAGGGGCGAGACAATTGTTGAGGCAGACTAAGCTGGTGTGATTATCTGCCATGGCTGCTGCCATCCCCACTATAGCATTACATAATCAACTACCCCCAGGCTGTGTTCTCCCTGGCCCATGATTTACTGTTCCGGCTTAATGGGTGTAATAATGCTTCAGTTGTCATTGAGATAAGAAAAATACTAATACATTTACTCCATCTTTCAGCATGAGTATCTGTACATCCCATATTTATCATTTATACCTAGAATTAAATTGTCTTCAATTGATTATTATTTCCACACTTTTATGATAAAAATTGGTATAACTTGCAGCAAGAAACATCAAATTTACTTGTCATTCCAAATAGTTCATTTAAATTTCTGCCTTGTGAATTCTGAACTTATATACATATTTGTTCCCTTGAAAAGTTATGTATTACAATATTTTTCAGATCTGACTTGATGTTTCTTGTAGAAACATGACAATGTCCCCTCTACACCCATTCTACTTCTATATCATCTTAATCTAGGATGAGGGAGTAAAGCTCCATTGTTCAATGACATCAAAGTATGAATTAATTTAGTTTCTAGCCAGGTAAAACAATCATGAGAGCCCTGGTATCACATGACGGCTCCCACTCAGTGAATACCTCCACAACCCTTGTAACAATAGAACAATGCAGTATGCTAAACAGCCAGTGCCTAATCTGGCATCCCACACAGGCACATGAGTAAAGTTCAGTGGTTCTCGCTGTGACAGGCTGCGATGACCTGGGCAGCCAAAGTCTGCAGAACCAGATCGGAGCTCTACGTGAGCAGAAATACCGGCAGAGGATCATGTTCATGCTGAACACTGTCACATGTAACATTACCATCAATTGTTCCAACAAACTTTCTGCCCTATCCTAGATGCTGCTTTCAAAACAGGGAAAAAATTATTTACTGTCCGCCTAAATAGCTGGTATTTTTACATCCACAATCTGGGATGGAATTTCAACTACAAGTTTTCCAGAGGTTGAAACACTCCTGTTTCAAAATAACATTTTCACATGCCTTGAACATTGGAACAGTCATTAAATGACTCAAATTTCTCTTGTTGCTTACACAAAATCTCATTCACCTGCAGAAATTGTGTCTCTTAAACAAAACAATCTGATGACATACACGTCATCATCATCAAACTAAAGGACCGGTCCTTTATCATGGGTGAGGTGGTGTTTGGGGGGTGATCAGTCTTAGGACTGTATCATATTATGCTGACCTCCCATTTTTATGTAACTTCCATGTAACTTCCATTTATACCCAATAGGTGTGATTAAATTTGGTGACCCCTCCCGACACTCCATTTGTATGGGGTGGTTTTACTTCAGTGTCATTACTTCTTTTTGATGAGGGAAAAACCAATCAGCTAATCAATTTGTGTGCTTTTTGTTTAACACCACACTCAGCAATATTTCGGCAATATGATGGCGGTCTGTAAATAATCAAGGATGGACCACACAATCCAGTGATTTACATCATGATCACTGATCTACGCAATTGGGATATGATAACATGCGTCAACCCAGTCAGCGAGCCTGACCAATCGATTCCGTTAGTTGCCTTTTATGACAAGCATAGTCGCTTTTTACGGTAAACATGGG